AAAATATTATTTTTTATATGGATAATGTTAATAGAATCAATTATACGTAGCCTATAACGTTTATTAATCAATAATAGCCATTTTACAACGTAATATATATCTTCGTTCAGTTGAATGTACAGTTGGTTGCCTAAGAAGAATTTTGTTATTTAAAATAATTTAACATTAAACACAAAAGGTCATTGGTTCCATTCCTAAACAGCCACAAAATTTATGGGGCGACCCGAAAAGGGGTATAAATTAAAAAAATATTAATATACATTTATACTCTTCCATATTCCTCCAATGTAATCTTGAAAGTTTCCACATTACTGGAATCTCCCCCTCCATTTTGCTCCCTATTATTTTCTCCCCTTTTCCAACTATTAGTATATACACGTTTTCGCACTTCACACGAAATCTTACCAAAAAAAAACAACAAAATAAACATAACAAAGTAATTGTTCCGCTCCAATAAGAAATAATCGTGCGATTTCAATTATCGTAAAAACTACCAGTTTTTGTAGCTACTATCCACACGCAATGGCAATTAATCCACATTAACGTGATTAATTCATACATTGCAAAGAGAGTCCAATTTTGTACATATTCTATAATTAATCGTTATATCAGTCACGTGAATAACTTAATCGGCTTTCCGTACGATTGTATCGTCACGTGATTATATCATAACCTTGTTAAATTAATTAGAATTCCTACTGACAAGTAAAATACTTTCAGTTTCAATTGATTCAAAATAAGTTACAATATTTATTTATAATCATCATAACTATGTTATTATCTAAATAACTGATATGGTTTGAATATATACAATACATATCAGTTTTTTTTAAAACATTATTTTATATTATATATCTGTAATTCAAATTTGAAGCATACATTATTATTAAATTTACAAGTAATTCCATGTTTCTCTATAACTATTATCGAAATAAATTTGATATAGAAATACTTAAATTAATCTTTATTGCTTTATTTATATCCATTTCATTATGAATCATAAAATAAATGCACTTAAAATTGTTTTCGATCTGCATTCACGATTCATATAAATTGATATTATTTTTTTTAAATTATTTTTTGCTTCAATATATTTTTTGCATAACCCAAGATAAGTGAAACATCTTTTTGATCATAATTCGTTCTTAAAGATTGTTCGAAAACTGAAATCATTTTCCGCAAATAATGTAAAATTTTGATAAATCGTGAAGTAAGCCCAAATGATTTTTACAGTAAAAAATTGAGAAACGAAATTTCAATGTATTTGTTATTTCTTAATATTAAAATTAATTGTTTTTATTAAGCCTTTAATAAACGTGTTTAATTAGAATTTTGTACAAAACTATATTTTATTTATAAATGCCATAATTAAAAAAAGACCTTATAAATAAAATATAGTTTTGTACAAAATTTCAATTACCTGTAATTTCGGTATTCATATTGGCTGGTAAAACTATTTAAACAATGAATGCCCTAGTTCTAATACATACAATATTTTAACTACTTTTCAATACACCAATATCTCGCTTTACGGTGTAATACGTGCCATAATTCTGCAATAAAATTTCTTATGGTATTTGATAAACCTATGGTAACAAAATTGATTAAATCAAGGAACCATATATTTTCATTATTTAATAATATGTAAACATAATTACTATGAAAATATAAATATATGAGAATATTATTAAATAACTTTACTTCTAATATAAACAGTATAATGGTTTAATAATAAATTGTTACTTTCGATTAAAAACAGGGATCGAAGTTGAAAAAAGGTTTGGAATCCCTGTGTTAAACCAATCCTTATTTTTTTTTTATTGTTAATCGTAAGTAATCTTCAGCTGGGTGAAAAGATTGCGGTCAATAACCATTTGTATGTTGTTGTGCAATAAAAAAACTGAGCTATTTTTATTTTATATTCAAGAATCAAAGCATTCTAAAACAAAGGTTAATTGTCGCAAATTACGTTAAACATTAATTGTAAATTGTATAAATAAACATGGACCAATTATTTTTGCAAAAGTATTATTGTCATAAATACATTTGCTTATGACACATTTAAAAAAGTTGTTATAAACTATATTAAATATAAATAAAATTGAATGAAAACGAAGGAATGTAAAATTAATTATTATTTAAATTACCATTGCTATCGACATAAAAATATAAATGTTACGTATTTTAATCAAAATCTTAAGTTACAGCTTAATACACATATAAATATTTATATAATGAAAATTTGCATTGAATTATATGTAAAATAAAAATATATAGTTTATCTTCAATATGTCACAGTTGACGGGAAAAGATACACAACATTACGAAAATAAATGTATTATTCAAAAAATATATATATCTAAATTGAATAATTTAAAGAATTGCGTATCCACAAATACGGAGAAATAAAAAATATTCAATAAAAACAATACTTGGTTTTTAAAATTCAAAAAATTACCATGTCTGATTTGCAACATTTATCAGTACAAAATTAACATTTTGTAACATTTAAAAAATCTACATAATTACTAATGATACTACATTACATCACTTACAAAAAAAACATCTAAATTAATTAAACGATACAAAATTCTTAAGAAAAATTACAAGAATCTGTAAGAAAAGTAATAACAAATATATAAACAGTAAGTTCTCGTTGAATGGCATTCAGTCTAGCGCTAAACGAAAGAGCTTTAAACTAAATCACATTAACATATAGTAAATAGATAAATTTAAAAGTATTTCATGCTTCGAGTTTATGGGTCTTACTGTACAATAAAACCATTATATTTACCACATTTTAAATTTGATATGATATAAAATAATATAATCAATCACAAAACATATACTTTTTAAACAAATACTTGTGGAAATTTTCCTAAAAAAAAACCTACTTTAATACAAAATATAATTAAAATATCGAAAATATAAATTTATTATTATTTTAAAATCTATATGAAAGGTCATGTGTATTATATTTTTTATTCTATGAGGAGTTATATTAATATGTTTTTTGAAGAAAATATTTAATACCTAGAGCAGCGGTCGGGGAACTTTTTTAACCATTACCCCAAAATATTATTGCATAAGTCGACCTCCCCCCCATTCTGAATAGAAAAGAATCAATGTAAATTTTAAATAAACATTATTTATTGAATTAATTTGCATTTACATATTTATAAAAAAGAGTTACATGAAAATAGTAACAAATAGTTATAGACAAATAAAATAAAATTCTTAAATTGGAACAAACAAAAATTAATTGAAAACTTTCCTCCTTCAGGTTTGGGAAAAATGATGTTGCTTCATGTTTGATATAATTACTTTAAAATTGGGACTTTTTGTTGTAAGATCAATTTAAATACAGTCTTCGGCGTTTAATAGACTTCTGTTTTTCGTTTTTATGTTCATTAGAGTGGAAAAGCCTTGTTCACAAAGGTAGGTTGTTGCAAATGGCAGCAATTTTTTTACCGCCTCCTCATGTGCAATTTTGAAAGCCTTTGCAGCCTTTGACAACTAAAAAGACGACAGATTTGCTCTGGTCTCAAAATGAATACGTGCTTCAGTATTGGATGGAAGTTCAAGAATTGCCTCTGCCAAACCTGGAGGTTCTTCTGGTATGTTAGTAATTTCACATTTAAAAGGATCTACAACCCAATTCACAGTTTGTATATCAAGATCTGAAAAGTAGTCAGAGAAGTCAGAGTTTGGTAAGATGAAATTAGAAAAATTTCCCTATTACCCAAAAAATTTTCATTTTTACCCCATTTTGGGTAATTTACCCTGGTTCCCCGACCGCTGACCTAGAGATTTAACTACCGGTAACGATTAACCGGATTCCCGAAATTATCTAAATAATTTTGATTGTTGTCTGCGTAAAAAGCTACTTTAAGCAGAGAATTGAAATCGGAATATGCAGCAACGCACCAACTTTTTGCATGAATTTGCTAGAATTTATAAATAAAGAAGATTATTATAATTTATTTCAATTAAATAAATCTGCCATTACTAAAATGAATATGTTTCTCATACAACGACCAAATATGAAACGTGATGGGCGCGAAACTGAAGAGCTAAATGTCTGAAAAGAATCGTCTGAAGTTGTTGAAGATTATCTGATTAGATAAAGCAATTCAACATAATTTCGCCTATTCTCTAATTCGTGATCCCCAAAATGTCCTCGCAAAGGAAGTTCTTGTTTTGTCAAAAAACTGATAGCGTTTAATAATTTAATGCAGTAACTTCCTTGTTGTGCATTCTAATATTTTCTTTAAATTTTGGACGGACCGCTACTGCTGGGAATCTTCATTGATCCAAAACTTAATTACCATTCCAAACACTTCAAATTCTAAATAAAATCGAGATCCCAAATAGTCCACTTCTTAACCCTACCTAGAATCTTCTGTATTTCATAATAAAAATTGACAGATACCTTTATTATAATAATAATAATCTTTATTGTAACAGTCAAAAACAAAATTAAACATTTTCATTCCCAACAATAATAATAGTAAAACAAAAGATTTAACTGTTACAAAGGGCTATTGACCATAGGTCTTTATGCCCATTTATATTATATTTATATATAATATAATATATATATTTTTTTTGACGTATTTTATGTTACATATATTTCTGAACATAAAATTATAATAATTAATGGAAATGTATATTTTATCTACATAGTCAACAATATTTAATGATAAATTATAAAGAAAAAATCGTAAGTAAAAATTATACAAATAATTACATATTTCGAAAATGATTAACGTTTGTTTGTTCCTTTTTTTATTCATTTGAATAAATAAACTTTTAATTTCCCATTTGCGGTTAACTGTACACGATTAAATCGCGAAAAGCGACATGTCCTGCTTTAGTGTAACTTTAATGAAGTGAAGAGATAACAACGCGTATATAAGTATGCGAAATTGTAACACATTGGAAGTAACTTTATTGTTTAGCTAAAGAATGCAAAACTATATAAAAATATATCAACAAAAATGTCTTACAAAGGTAATAATTTTATAATAAATAACTTATCTATACAATTTCATATTATTAGAAAAAATGCAGTGTATTGAATTTTTACATGTTCATTTTTTGTAATTAACTAATGTTACCCTTACTAATATTATGAATTTATATATTATTAAACATCTTTGTTGATCACAATTATGACCAAAGTATTATTTACAGAACTCTTTCCGTACACAAATAAAATATTTTTTAGAATTTAGGATTTTGACTAGAAATTTGTTGTTAATCATAAAATAAAGTTATTTTACCATTTCTTTTTCTAATTAATACTGGTACGTACGTACGTACTGGTATTACCTGTCATGTATTTAACTTTAAAAAATCTAACATCGTTTTCTCGTATTATGTAGATAGTAATTAATAAATTAGTCATATTCCTTAGATATGCCAAATAAAAAAACTTATTTTATTATAATATCAAATATAATATAACAATATTAAATAATCAATGAATTTTAAAATATGAATGAACAATGTTAAAATGTTTTAAATTTCTTTTCAAAATTATCATTGGTGACCTCGAAACACCATGAATCCAATTACAGTTTTAACGTTTATGTAACTGCTTTTACTAGTGAATAATTATGGAAGAAAGGTAATTAGATAATGTTTACATTTTTTTTTTAATTTTATCCATATTTCTATGTTTGATAAAATAAAGTAAACATTCACCTATTTTTTTTTAATTATCATTATAATTGACTTTTAAAATTATAATTACAATATACATATATAGTAAATTATAATTGATTACCAAATAAAATAAATTGCATTTAATAAATGAAATGTTAAAGGTAAAATAATTTTATTTGCTAATACACTTAATTATATTATTATTTACACAGTGAATAATTCTTAATTAAATAATGGTTTTGTTGATAATTATAGTTAATGTATATAAATTTTATTAGTTTTATTAGAATAATTCATATTTATTAATTAATTATTATAGTGTTAAGTTACTTATAAAATTTTATATATTTTTAATTATTATTAGAATTTTGTAAAGTTTCTGAAAACATATATTTATTATTGAATATTTCAGTAGGCGCAATAAACATTATAATTTTTCATAATTCATCAGTGTAAACAATAAAATTTTCTAAATTTGTAGAAAAAATATAGTGTATTCAGTGGATTTTAATTATACACACTCTTTTATAAACGAATGTAATTATAAATTTAAATATTCTTTAATTCAAGGAATTATAGCAATATTGGCCACAATAGCAAACTTTTTGGTTCCATGTTGCTACTCTGTTAACCGACATTGCGATTATTACCAATACATAAAGCTCAATCAACAATTTATCATTCACAATGCAGAATATCCAAGATACTACGGTTCAAAAGTGAACTGCAGATGGATTGCAGAAGGACCTCCGGGCACGCAAATTCAATTGAACTGTAAGGACGTGCGAATTCCAGAGGTCAGTACATTCTTATTTTTTTTATTAAAGTATAACTAATTGTATATTTAAATGTAACAATTTAAGTATAAATAATTGTAACATTCAGTCCAGAGAATGCGCTTACGATCATTTGGCTATCGATCAATCCAGAGACACTTCCTTGAAAGACCCACCAACTTATTGCGGGTCTGGTTCACTTTACATAACTTCCGATGATAACGTCTTTACAGTTGGTATGAAAATTGTATATATTGAATATATAATATCAAGTATGTACAATTTCAGGGTTACGATCTGCCAGATTTACCAGAGGTGGAAGATTTTATTGCACCCTGACTGCAGTAGAATCAACGAAACCTCCACTTTGCGATTGTGGTTACAGACAAGAAGTAAATTTATTAAATTCTGTTCAAATTAATTATTTGTCAACTCTATTTTGTTCTATTTTTTAAACTCTAATGGATTCCATTTGAATAATAATATATTTTATTAGAGTTTTCAACTATATTTGATTCTATGTATATGTTTAGAGGCGAATCGTGGGTGGCGTGGAAACTGAAGTGAATGAATTTCCTTACATGAGCGGAATAGCGGATTTGGATAATAGGCATATTCGATGCGGATCCACGATTATATCGGATAGATACGCTTTGTCAGCAACGCATTGCTTTGTTGGCAAAAAAATATATGAGCTTGCTTTACTTGTTGGAGACCATAATTATGTTGAAAGTATGTATTTTAAATCTTAAGTTAGTTTAAAATAGTTTTTCTGTTCATGAAACCAATATAAATAATAATATTTATTGCCGTCACTGATGATATAAACATGAAATTTGTTGTTAAAAAAATCAATTCAATTGAGAGGTGACATTGTACGTTAAAGTTTGAAGGGATCTGCAAAATAAAGATAAGACAAATCGAGCCGGGGTTCTTGCGGCTCTATAACAATTAATCTAAACTGACAGAAACAATTGCATACCCTGCACCAACTGACATAAATTTATGTAACTATATCTAGTTAAGTATTGTTAGTGAAATTATGTTCTAATATATCAGAGTATAACTAATTAGAAGAACGCAAACGGAATTGTTCCTTGGATTAAATATCGCATTGTATCTTCAATATATTAATTATTATTTAATTTAGATATGGAAACAAATTATGCTGCATTATACAACATAAAGCAGATAATAACCAATGATCAATATGACGCCCATTTGACCTTATATGATGTATCCCTCGTGAAAACAACTAAACAGATCATCTTTAACATTGCCGTTGGTCCAGTATGTTTACCATTCAGGTATTCTCAAAACGATTTCGCTGGACAATTAGTGACGATTCTAGGTAATTTCCTTAAATATACTCAAATGTTTGGACGGCTAATTGCACGTGTTTCAGGATGGGGAACCACCGAGTTTTCAGGGCCGGTCTCTGAACATCTTCGTAAAACCAACGTCACGGTGTATTCAAATTTTGAGTGTCAACCACAAATATCAAGTAAACTTCTGTCCAATCAACTGTGCACGAGCAGCATAAAAACGGATTCATGCCAATACGATTCTGGTGGACCTGTGATATTTGCTGATAGCCTAACGAGACGTGATTTCCTGATTGGTTCCATTTCCAGTGGTCGTGGCTGCGCCGGTGGCATTCCATCAATTAATTCCAGAATCACGAGTTTTCTGCAATGGATTGTAGATGTGACACCTGGTAAATACAAAGACTGTTATGCACTAAGCGATACTTGTCATTACTTGGCAACTTGTATAAAAATTTAACACTGCAACTTATACTAAATTGACTTTATCAAAAACAAATATATTGGTGTAATATTAAATCAGAGAGTCAAACCGATATTAAAGTAAATGTTTATCGTCCCAAATTCGGTTTCGGTTCTTCTAAAAATTTCGGTTCAGTTTCAATTGGTTCCGGTTCATGTCTGAAATTAAACCGTAATGAACCGTAATTAAAATTTCCGGTTTCGGTTTTACAATTGAACAATTTTCGTAAAAATTTCTGATAATGTCGGTTAATTTCCGCTAATTATGGTTCGGTTCGACTCTCTGTATTAAATATTGATTGACAAGTAAAAATTCGCATGTGGAGCAGTAAATTGTAACTACTAACGGCAATTTTAATTTTCAGATGCGACTTATTGCTACAAATAATAATTTTCTATTATCTATTAATTATGTAATTAAATTAATAATAAACGCTACCGACTAAGCCACCAAATGTATAAAACTTACTTTACTTAACAATGCTGCATAAATAAATATTCAATTTGTCAAAAAAAGAGTACATAATAACCCAAAATATTTAATACCTATAAAATACAATAAATAATTTGCAGAACAATATTTCTATTTGCACTCATTTGCCTTAGATATGAGGAAATTTAAAATACAACAAAAACCAAACTTAAAGACAAAATATTATTAGTGCCTTAATATTAAATTATACAAATTATATTTTATAACAATCTATGTCAGCGGTTTCCAACCTTTATGCTACTACGCCTCCCCGAATATTTTTTTCCGCGCCTCCCTTACCTTTAATAGATTAAATAATATAGACACGTTTTATTTATTTGAAGATATAATGGTATAAAAATTAATTTATTAAAAATTTTTGGCGCCTCCCCCGGGAGTTTGAAAACAGCTGATCTATGCAATGCATGGAAATACATCGACAAAATGTGATGTTTAAGAGTGATGTACAATATCTTGAATTTTATTCTATGTATTAATCTATAGTTTTTATTACTATTTTTGTAGAATTCTTAATTATTGATATTCCATGTATATCTTTTATAATATTTTAATCATTGCAATTTGATCATTTCAGCAATGAAATAAATACAAAATTTCCTTTTATGGTCATGAAAACAGTAATGTAGAATAGTGATTCTCAAATATTTGAGAAGTCGCAGAAAAATTGATGTCATCAATTTTCTACACATATCTATTCTTCGAGGGGTTCTTTAAAATGTTTAAGAAAGGGAATGCGGACCAAAAAGTTTGAGAAACACTGATGTAAAACATAATTCTGATGTAAAATCTGCATGATTACATTTCTGAGTAGCAATAAATGTATATATGATATTTAAGTTATCGCAGTTATAAATGGATAATCTGTAAATTTGTATAATAGTATTGAACGTTTTGATCTATTTTTGTTTTTATTACCTATTGTGTTTTTCCAATTCCTAATCAACTTATAGTTAATCTTATTAAAAATATTGAGATGTAATTATTAAAGCTAAAAGTTTCAAGGTATTATCATATTATACAAACCACAACATTTTTTTTTAATAAAATCATTAACAAAAACATATACAGTGGAACTTCGCTTAACGAGCACCTTCATAACGAGCATTTGGCTTAACGAGCAAAATGAATTGTAAGAAAAATGGCTCGCTTAACGAGCGACGTATTTCACTATACGAGTAAAAATCTGGAAATTTTGGAACGTTTGGACGTTTTTCGACGTCCATGTTACCAGAACGGAAGCGTTGGAACAAACGCTGTACTGTTGAATTCGATACTGTATTAGGTCCATAAACAACACATTTTTTTGGCCGCATGCTCTGCTTTTCCCCTTGATCGTAGTGTTACTAAAGAATATATTGAATTTTCTCTTTTTTTACCTCCATTATCTAATACACAACTGAATACACTAAACACAAAGCTGTCAAATAACTTTTTTTAAAACGTTTTGTCGCCTTTAAGTCGCAGTATAGAATGATAAGAAGCAACATATACCTCCTGAGATACATGTATCGACAAACGCTCAGATCTTTTTACTTCACTTATTACAAATGTTTTTATTTGGTAATGCAAGCTCTGAACATTTATTTTTTATTAAATGTTCATGTTTAACTATTTGCTTAAACATAAGCTTTTATTGAATACAGTCATGATTATTATATAATATTTCTATTGTATTTAATTATTATATTGTAGCTACAGTAATTATTCTAATTCTTGTTTAAAATATAACATTTATTGTTTTGTAGTATGGAAAAAAAATAATTTAACTTCGCATAGAATCTTCTATTATTATAAATCTAGTCACATATTTTCAAACGTATGAAAATGTTAGTATATTTTGGATACAAATTTGACCAAAACTCAAAATTTTAAATTACATGTCCCAATCTATAAATATGTTAAATACATAACTTTAGACGTGATTGTTTCAAGTCTTTTCAAATTAGAATCTATATCCATAAAATAATGACCAAAAGTTTTATTTTGACAACAAAAAGCCACTATTGTCGTGTCGATATTGTGAAATAAATGGAAAACAAAAAACATAATTAAGTATTGTTATTGCTACTGTGTGTGCGTTTTTTGTCAAGTAAATGTAACATATCTGAATAGATAAGGCTCCACACGGTATATATATAAGTAAATGAGAATATTTCTACTTACTACTTTTAATGTGCGGATAGGAAACGTTTGTGCAATACGTAAATTGAAAACTTCAACAAAAATTGTTTTCAGTGCAAACTCACCCCATTGAAGATGGCATCAATAGGTAACATAATTTAAATTACATTTTTATTGTTTATTATTTATTTATTCATTTTTATTATTTGTATTATCCAAAAGGACTCATAACCGTCTTTTTGCTGATTTCTGTTTTTCTGCCGAGTACAAAATAAATATTTCGATTTTCTTTATTTTTGAGTACAATTATATCAAAAAGCACAAAAAAACATCGAAATATTTTTATATAAACTAATGAGAACATAAGCAATATTTCGAATATACCGGTCTATTTAAAAGCAAAAAATTAAAAACCGATCATTTATGTAAAATGAAAAATAATTTTGTGTAGTAAATTTCAGAATTTATTTTTATTCTGCTCAAATAAAGTTTGAATTAGGAATATGAGAGATATTGCAGTATAATACCGAAAATTACGACGAATTAAATATTAGCAAAAGTATCAACATTTTTCTTAATCATATTTAGTATGTAATATTATTCCACCTGGTCGTAAAAAAGTTTTACCTTAATTTTCGTAAACTCCTACTTAAAATGCTCTTAGAACGATGTGCTTTTGTATTGATAAGAGAGCTACTACAAGAATGACTTTCACGGAGAATTGAAACAAATATTTTACAATTATTTAAACAATACCAATGTTAAAATTTCCGTTCATTTAATTTACATAAAACCGTTTTTATTGTTAGTAACATTTTCTATTATCATATTTATATCATCATAAAAAAATATAATAATAATTGAAATCTCAAAACCATAAATATATGTCTAAAAAAATAACAAAGATAAAAACTTTTATCTATAGGATAAACAATAAAATATAATTAGAAAGTATTCCATAGTGTAATCATTATAATTAGTGGCCTTTCTCATTATTGTTTTGTAGTTAAAAGTCTAATAATTACCACTGAAATGTAATGTAATTATGTCAGATAATACGGCAACGAAAACATCATTAACTGTAACTATATGCATTTTCACTGTTGTCACAGGTGCGATATTAGCATTTATAACGATAATTGGAAACGTCCTTTTCCCAATTTGCGGAGCCGTCGATCCGGACTGCGATTATTACCAATACATAAAAGTGAATCAACAATTTTACATCTACAACTCTGAGTATCCTAATTACTATGGTAGAAATGTTAACTGCAGATGGATAGCAGAAGGAGAGCCTGGAACACAAATTGAGTTGAGCTGCTCCGATGTGCAGATACCTCCGGTGGGACTTTTATTTTTATTTTTCAATTGTGATTTAAAACCATATTATTAAATCTTTCAGTCCCAAAATTGCATTGAGGATCATCTGGCAATCGATCTAAATGGAGATACGTCGCTTAGCAATGCTCCAACATATTGTGGAACTGGCACACTTCACATGATTTCCGAAGAAAACGTTTTAACAGTTGGTAAGTTTTTTAAAACAAAAAGTACTACTTATAGTACAGGGTGGGCCAACTTGGACTTACTGATGTAAAATAGATACAATTTTTAAAATTGTAAAATTTTACTTGATTCTTTTTAGATGAAACTATAGTTTGTTTTTAATATTAATATTTTTAGAATTATTGAAAAATGTATTCTGAAGCACTTGAATTAGTAGTAGTATTAGTGTATTATGATATACTTTTTTCAGGTTTACGTTCGACTTCATTCACTCGAGGCGGCAGGTTTTATTGCGCGGTGACAGCAATCCCATCTACTAAACCTCCACCACCTAAATGCGATTGTGGATACAGACAAGAAGTAAGAAAACAATTATTTGGTTATTAGTTATTAGATTATTCTTGACTTTACTAGAGACGAATCGTGGGTGGTGTCGAAACCGGTGTTAATGAATTCCCCTATATGAGTGGTATAGTCGATATGGAAAACAGAATTATTCGATGTGGTTCAAGTATTATATCCAAAAGGTACGCTATAAGTGCGGCTCATTGCTTCAATGGAAAAAATACTTCGAATTTAGCTTTGGTTGTTGGTGAACACGATGTATCTACTGGTACGTATTAATTTCACTTTTCAATTTAATATAGTTAAATTATCATCAAACTTTATTCTACCATCATTTCAACAAAATTGTGACAAGTTATACATCGTAAACCTATTTTTATTTTGCAGCTTTGTGACAGTTTTTAATTGATAGTTGTGTAATGTTGACCGTCTAATTTCATTAATTACTAAATTTTAATAAAATGTTGTTAGATTTATATAATGAAGCATTTACACTCAATATAGGACATAAATATCTGTCAGACAAAGCAAAAAAAAATCAATCACAGCTAATTCACTTTGAGGATCTTAAAACTTCATAAGAATAAACACAAAATTGTTGAAAAATAATGTTATTTATTTATGAGGAGATATTTATGTACTTAGCAGAGACTCGGAACGAAACTTTAATTACGGTTAATTTCGGTTATTTTTTTTTTTCATTAAATTAATTCATAATCGCTTTCTTTCATGTATGCTCTTTGATGGTATTGTGCCGGTGCTAATGTTTTGGTTTATTTATGTAGTCGGTCTATTTTTAAGTATATAAACAAACAATTTATAAGAGACATCCATGAAGTCTCTTTGAATACTCTGAATTACTTTTTAAAATAAACATATAAATACATAATAAAAAAAAACATCAAGACCGAATTCCGTGGGAACGCTTAAATATCAATATAAATAAAGCCCTACTCCCGTTTTCATTACGCCGAATATGAAGAACTCCAAAAACAAAGATCTCTCTAACAACCACCGGCTAAAAACAGAAAATTTGAAACATTACAAAGTACATGTGTTGAACTAGCCACTAAATAAGATCTATGTCTTATGTATTTTCAATTTTATAATTAAAATAGTAAGAAGGGAATTTGTTAAATAATATTATACCAAAATTTGATTTTCAATTTTATTTCGATTTTAAATTTTAACTTAAACTAATTTGAATTATTTTTTTTTTCGATTTTAAATTTTAATTTCTACCGGAACCGAACCGAAACTGAACCGAAGTTTTAGACGAACCGAAACCGAATCTGGAACGATAAACATTTATTTGGAACTTAACCATAAACCGAAACGAAATTCATTTCGGTTCTACTCTCCGGTCTTCTTAGTGTATACTTTATAAAATTTGAACTTTTGGAAAAATGTTGCTGTTAAACAATTTTCAAAATATTATTTTAGAATTATCTGAAATCAATTGTACAGAATATAAACTGTTTTTATAATACATATTGATTATATGTATACATTAAAAACAAACAATAAATATAACAATTAACACTTTGTTCTGATTTGAAACAGGAACAGAAACATCTTACTCAAGAATATACCTCTTAAGCAATATCATAGTTAACACGAATTACAATGAAAGCGCGGATTACACAATGTACGATGTAGCGTTGGTCAAAACGCAACAAGACATCGTCTTTAGTATCGCCGTTGGACCGGTCTGTTTACCATTCAAGTTCTACTATCAGAGCTTTGCAGGAGACGTTGCTACCATTCTAGGTAAGCTAAATGTAGACCAATTCTCTGAATCTCGTTTTATAATATCGTCTTTTGTTTATTCTCCAGGGTGGGGAACTACAGAGTTCTCTGGACCAGTTTCTGATGTTTTGCTCAAAGCCAACGTCACTGTTTACTCGAATACAGACTGCAGACACAGCATAATAGATCTTTTGCCCAATCAAATGTGTACATCAACATATAAAACTGACGCCTGCCAATATGACTCTGGTGGTCCGGTGATTTTCGCAGATCCCAACACGAGACGCGACTTCTTGGTGGGAACAATATCTTTCGGTAAAGGATGTGCTAGCGATTTCCCCTCTGTAAACTCGAGAATTACTAGTTTCTTGGATTGGATTAAGGACCAGACTCCTGGTAATTTTATTAAATTATTAAAAAAGTAGAATTATATTCATTTTGTTTTTATTTTTTGTTGCAGATGCTGATTACTGCTACAAATAAATGTGTATTATATTATTATAAAATATAATCCAATAAAGTGTACAATAATTAACTGTTTATCATGGTTACTTAATAAAACTTTAAATTGATTGAGTCGAAAACCATCGACGAGCTGTCCTAATTCAAAGCATCATCACCGTACACTGCGCAAATATCGCGAACAGCTTTGGAGGTTTTGCCTACTTGACATTCTATTTTGAGGGCGTGTATTCAATCAGATAATGATTGTAACGTAAAAGCAAATATCTTGTAGAGCAGAAAATTTTCTTCTGAATGACGTAGCGCACTTTTACATAACAAAAAACCGGACATTAGTTAACATAAGTACCCAATAGATGTCACATCTGGTAGCAAAAGCTAGTCCTGACATGGCTAACCCGCGGTCCAATTGAAGTTTTCTGCTTTCTATATTATGCATTTGGGACTAAGTTTCATCGCGAATCGTTCTTTTCAAAATTAAATAGTAGTAATACCGAAATGCAAAGAAATCAACACATGTTTTCCATGCAAGATAAAATAGTGGCGATATAAATGTTACTTCGTAAATGAATTTGAACAATAAGATCGAATGTTTTTGAAATCATTCTCAAATGATTGCAGATAATTGTGAATTCGATAAAGAACATACAATTTATTTAATCTCCAAAAATTAATTGAAAAATTTGACAAATATTTTCTAAATAATTAACTTGATAGCAGAAAATTGCGAATTTTCTCATCCACAATGATTTTAAAAGTGTACTTTATGTTTATTTTTCAAGAATACGTCTGAAGCTAATTCCAACAATTCCAAACTTCTGGCATGGATGTGATATTAATGTTAAACGGTCTTATCCATTGAATATGTTTGTTAATCAGTTTAGAAATTTCGTGCATTCAAAGGACGACCTTTAATATAGTTAATAATTTTCACGCATTTCGCAATAAAAGGCGACACTCGATACGAAGATTCTAGGATATTTTTATTGTCACCTCCTGCGAAAACTCGTTTTACTTTTCGAGCCTGTTTAAATCCTCAAGTTTGTTTAAAAACAATTAGTTTATCTTTGTTCTTTGTATTATGATTTGTCACAAAATGGCAATTTAAATTGGATGGGTTCCTGTTTTCATTTGTAAGATTTTCAGAACAAATGACGTAAAGTGGAATAAGTTCTTTTTCATCTCCAGTCGATGAGAATCTAAATATTACTATATTCTTTATCGTACAAAATTCTATGCATTTGTTTACATGAAAAAGATGATCGATTACGATTGTACGTGTAATGATCATTAAGTTTTTATAATAAGGACTTGCATTCGGAGTAAATGTATTGGAGTATCGATGGGAATGTTTAAGCTTGGTCCCATTTGTTTATATTAAAGTGTATTGAACTGGGATCACGTTATATTAAAAATAATTATTATTTTGGTTGGACACAACAGGATAATACTCGTTAAGCAAAAATAATTAAGATTTAACTAGACATAGAATCCTCTGATTTTCAAATGCATGAACATTTTAGACAAAAATTTGACCAAAACTCAAAATTTTAATTACATATCCCAATCTGAAACAATGTTGGATACATAACTTTATTGTTGTTATTGTTTGAAGTCCTAAAATTATAATCTATATGTATAAAATAATGAACAAAAGTTTTGTTGTGATAACAAATAGCTACTATTGTCGTTATCGATATGGTGAAGTAAATGGAAAACAAAAAAATAATAATTATGTATAATTATTGCTGCTGTGTGTTCGTTTTTTTCTATTTATTGTAACATATCTGAAGAGATAATACTCCACAAGGTATATATATATACATGAGTAAATGAGAATATTTATACATAATACTTTTAATGTGCGGATAAGAAACGTTTGTGCAATTCATATATTGAAAACTGCAACAAAAATTGTTTTCGGTGAAAACACCTCATTGAAGATGGCATCATAATTTAAATTACTAAATATTTTTTTAATATTTCTATTGTCCTAATTTGAAAAAAAATACCGTCTTTTTGTTCATTTCTGTTTATCAGCCAAGTACAAAATAAATATATCGATTTTCTTTATTGTTGAGTATAATTGTATGAAAAATGGCAAAAGAAAATCCAAACATTTTGAAAACATAAAGCAATAACATACTCGAATATCCTGGACTGTTTAAATTCGGACTAATCCAGGAACTAAATACTTACAAACAAAAATGATAAAAATAAAACATCCAAAAAGAGACTTCACTGTATAAAGAAAAAAAAAATGATCATTATGTACAATAAAAAATCATTTTGTGCAGCAATTTTTAGAATTTAATTCAAATTTTATTTGTTTTGCAATTTGGAAACAAAAAAAACTTTACCTTCATTTTCAGTTCATTAGAATTTGTCCCTAATAAGCGGCTGCCCCGATTAACAATTAAGCGGAATTCATATTACTTTGAATGAATACAATTATGTCTGAAAAATAACGCAGATAAAAATTGTTACCTTAACCCTAAGACAATAAAAATATAATTAAAAAGTATTCGATAATGCATTCATTATAAATAGAGGCCTCTTCATTATTAATTTGTTGTTGTCGCATCATTGCAACTGAAATGTAATGTAATTATGTAAAAGAAAACATCATTAACCCTTTGAGGTCCTATTTTATTTTCAGTATAATGATCAGTATGTACAATTTTATTTTTCGCAAATATGTATGGTGTAAACACAGCATAGCGTTTTTTGTCGTTGCGACAACGCAGTCTACAAACGGCAGTCTAACAGAACCCTTAAATGATGTCTTACCAGGAAATAGTAATAAGTTAAATTATAGCACGGAAATGTTAATGTCGACACAGAACCGCGAAGGGTTAACTGTAACTATATGCATTTTTACTGTTTCAGGTACGATACTAGTAGCATTTGTAACAATAATTGGAAACGTGCGATTGGAACACGCGATTTCCGAAGAAAACGTGTTAACAGTTGGTAAATGTTTGTTCAAAAAAAAATTGTTTTATTCAAACCTATATAAAAGCACTTCTTTAATCAAAAAAAACATCTTACATGATTGTTTTTCATTATTCAGCATTACCTACTGTTAAAAATACATCTAGCTTCAATTCACATTAGTTGCTGCCAACAGTTTTAATCGTCGAAAGAAAAAAATTAATTTAAAATTAATGATTTCATTTGGAATCACTAGGCTAAAAAGGGTTAATATAAACATTTTTAGAATTATTGAATGATATATACTGAAATAGTTGAATCAGTTTAACAGGCAAAATAGTCGAAACGATTGAAGCAGTATTATTTGTGTAATTTGACATACTTTCTTCAAGTTTAAATTCGACTTCATTCACCCGAGGTGGCAGGTTTAATTGCTCGGTGACAGCAATCCCATCTACTAAACCTCCACCACCTAAATGTGATTGTGGATACAGACAAGAAGTAAGAAATCAATTATTTAGTTATTAATTATTACATTATTCTTGACTTTACTAGAGAGGAATCGTGGGTGGTGTCGAAACCGGTGTTAATGAATTCCCCTATATGATTGGTATAGTCGATTTAGAAAAAAGGAATATTCAATGTGGTTCAAGCATTATATCCAAAGGTACGCCATAAGTGCAGCTCATTGTTTTAATTGAAAGAACACTTCTAATTTAGCTTTGATTGTTGGTGAACACGATATATCTACTGGTACGTATATTTGTATATGTTGTATAAATATATTTATTTTTCAATACTAATACTGATAGCAATAATTTCACATTTAAATTTATTATACTTAAGTTGTTATCTAACTTATATCATTCATTCTACCATCAGTTGAAAAGAATTGTGAAAAATTGTAGATCATGTCATAAAAGAAGTTATGCGTATTTTCATTTTGCAGCTATATTACAGTTTTTAATTGATAGTTTTCCTATTTTATAAATTACTAAATTTTCAGTTTGTATGTCTGAAAACTTCATAAGAACAAATCCAAAATGGTTGAAAATAATGGCATTTCTAGGAATTATATATGTCTTCAGTTTCTCATAGTGTATACATCAGAAAAAATGTTACTTTGGGAATAAAATTGTTTTTTTCCAAACATTTCAGAAAATACTGAAATCAATTATATCGAATATAAACGGTTTTTATAATACATATTGATTAGACAATAAACAATTAATACTTTGTTTTGATTTAAAACAGGAAAGGAAACATCTTACCCAAAAATATAAGTATTAAGCAATATAATAGTTAACGAGAATTATGATCCAAATGCGCGTTACTTAGTTTTCGATGTAGCGTTAGTCAAAACGGAAAAAGACATAATCTTCAATATCGCCGTTGGACCTGTGTGTTTACCATTCAAGTTCATTGATCAGAGCTTCGCAGGCGATTTTGTAACCAATCTAGGTACTAAATGACCAATTCTCTGAATATCATTTTATAATATTGTCTTTTGTATATTTTTCAGGGTGGGAGACTGTGGAGTACAGAGGACCAGTTTCTGATGTTTTGCACAAAGCTAACGTTACTGTTTGTTTACTCGAATACAGACTGCAGACACAGTATAATACATCTTTTGCCCAATCAAATGTGTACATCGACATATAAAACGGACGCCTGCCAATATGACTCTGGTGGTCCGGTGATTTTCGCATATCCCAACACGAGACGCAATTTCTTGGTGGGAACAATATCTTTCGGTAGAGAATGCGCAAGCCGCGACCTCGCTGTAAACTCGAGAATTACGAGTTTCTTGCAATGGATTAAGAACCAGACTCCAGGTAATTTAATAAAATTATTAAAAAGTAGACTTATATATTCATTTTATTTTATTTGTTTGCAGATGCTGATTACTGTTCAAAATAACTTTGTATTCAATTAGATAATCCAAATACAATTCAATAAAGTACACAATGTGATAAAAGTTAATATTATTTAGTCTATATATTTTTAACTTGAAATAATACTAAGAAATACTAAGATATGAAATCAATCTCACAATAACCATATTGAATATCGAAATAGTTGAACATAAAAGATAACATAATTGAGTAAACGGCTTAACTCCATTTTTGTTATTTCGCACTTCACCGCTAATTGCAATTGTTTAATTGAAGATATGCTTAAAAGAAGATTTGCTTCTCTCCCGTTTAGTGAAAAAGAGATTATTTTCAAGAGCTCAAAGCTCAAACAAAAATATTTAAAAATAATTTTAGTAGAGATATTTACGAAAAAAATACTTCTCAAGTACAAAATATCTAGAATAAATTTGAATATTCTGATATAAACAACATCAATAAAGCATGCAACAGATGCAACCAATTAAAAAAATTGGAAAGGGAGCTCGTATAGAAATTTTGTAGTGCGCAATTTATAGAAAATATAGCAATACATAACAAGGAAGTTACTGCAAATTAATACATTTTATCGAAATTAATAAATGCTATTTGTTTTTTGACAAGAACTACCTTTACGAGAGTATTTTGAGCATCACGAATTAGAAAATAGAGAAAATTATTTTGAATTGGTATATCTACTCAGTGATTTTGTTGTACATCATTCCCCGGTTAAAAAGTCACTGATATATACCACCTGAACACCATGACTTGTTCAAGTCACTCTCGCATACAGAAAATACAGATAAGCTGTAAATTGTGTAATTTATATAGATAGAAGATTTCCTGAAATATATAATAAATTGAGTTTTTTTTTCAATTTTAATCATTTTAAACTATGTCGAATGGACTTGAGCTCTTTCAAATTTTATAATAAATCTAATTGTTAATTTTGAAAGTGTCTTAAATCCATTTGTGGTAAAAACACATATTATTCACTTAATGATTGCTATTATTTTAATAGAAATTGTAAATTTAATTCTCTTAGATAAACTTATGCGTCACACTGCATTCACATTGTTATCAAATTTAAATATCTCAATTTAAATATGAATTTATTTAATTATGACAAAATATGTAAAATAGTGTCTCATAGACTAATCATCTTGAATCCACAATTTTCTGCTATCAAGTTACTATTTGGAAAATATTTGTGAATTCAATCATCGTTTTAAATAAAATGATTTTTTATAAATATTCTTCCTGCTTTAAGAAATTCTTTTTTTTTACTGGTGGCTCAATTGAACTACAACTAACTTAAAAATGCTATAACTTTTGAAACGTATTTCGCCTAATGATAGCTGATATTATTGAAATTATTCTTTTCAAGCCTGCGGTAGCAGTTTTTTGGAAAAAAAGTTATCAGTGATAGAATTCAAACGTAATAGTATGATAGCCCAATATTTGAGCGGAAAACCAAAAGTGGCAATTGTTAGAGCACTCGAACACCTTAATGTGAATAAATAAATATATGTGGTTGAAGTGGTTCAGAAACTTAAGGCTCGAATTGAATGAAATTTGCGACGCAGTAGAAGACAAATGGCTACTCAGCTAAACATATCGAACATAACCATGCAACAAATATTCAAAATCGAACTCAAAGTGAAGCTTTGCAAGTTCCAAAAATGATAAGATCTCACCGATCTTAAAAAAAAATAGACTCGATAGAGCGAAGGAGTTGCCAAATATCGTCTTATCTGATGAGAAATTTCCCAATTCAGATACTCGTAAACAAACAAAATGATCGAATTTACTTAGAAGAACAGTTCAAGCAAAAAATTAGATATTCGAATCACATTTGTGCAGCTTGTGACTCGCGTGTCTACCAACTATAGTTCGCGCTCAAGGTGGCCATATCGAAAATTTGAAATAAATTAAAAAAATTTAATTGTTTTCCAACATTTTTTGATTGTGGTTCAATAAAATCCAATTTCAAATAAAAAAAATACAGCGTTCTAAAAAGTGTAAAATACTTATTAAATGTATCATATAAATTCTTTAACTCTTTACTATTAGATTGGTCAAATACAGTTGAACCTCGCTTAACGAGTTTAATCCGTTACATAATTTCCGGATTTTTACTCGTATAGTGAAATACTTATATAGTAATATACAAATCTTCGTAATTATATCCATATAAATAAACACGTAAAAGCTAGAAAAATAAAATCATAGAATATAAATTATTTACATTTTATTCGGCAATTTTTTTTTTTATTTAAATCTATACTCTTATGCACAAAAATGTGTTCATTAATAAAAGTATTATTTACTAGATGCCTTTGAAAAATTTAATGTTTATGTATGTAGTTTCATGTTTAATTATTATAATATAAATTTAATTTTTTTATATTTATTATTTTTTTACAAAAATATAAAAGTAACTACACCTTTTTTTTGTAGAGGAGAGGAAACCTTACATATGGACCATGGGTGGAGTTATGGTACTGTGGGATTCTTACCGCACTAAAACCTCTTCCCTTCTTCGCCAGCATGTTGGACCTGTATCGCTATACTACTCTGCGATGCTGATTGTCATTGCCTCTCTGGCACTTCCCCTAATAATGCTGGCTTCCACTGCCACTATCCTCGTAGGCCCTCTGCTCGTATTCTTCCTTGCTTAGCAGCACCTCCGTTATGTACGCCGCTACAACATTCCAGCTATCCACACTCCTCAACATTTCACCGACAATATTTTCAGGCTCTAGCAGAACTCCCAATTCTGCCTCCGCCCTGTGCTTCCTTCCAACCCATCTGCAGCACCTAAATAGCGTGTGCTCAGAGCTATCGTCCTCCACGCAGTACCAGCACCTTTCATCCTCCTTCTTCGCGATGAAGTGCAGGTACTTGCCAAAGCATCCATGGCCAGATAGCGCCTGGCTCAGGTGAAATGTTGTCGAGTCCAGGCTCCTTTCTCCGACCTGTGCCATTTATCTTGCCATTTTTGAAGCAATCTGGCTCTAGCATCCGCTTTGGTCGCGCTCCTCTGCCTCTCACCTCTCTCCAGAACAAGGAGCTCTATTGGTGGCACTCCAGCTATCACCTGCACAATCTTCTCTTGCTAGGCTTCGGTCCACCCTTGTTGTGCATCAACCTGCTTAGAGCTGTAGTTGTTTCTGCTGCTCAGGTGGCTACTGCCCTGATATGCTCGGCGTAGGTCAGGCTACTTTCAATGGAGACCCCCAGGTATTTAATAACTTTCTTCGGTATTATTTCTGTGCCTGATATGGTAAATTTTATAGGTTTTGCTTTCCTCATTCCGATCAATAATACCGCTTCTGTTTTTTCTGGCGCAAGTGTCAGACCTCTCTCTGACATCTAGTTTTGTATGTTCCAAGTGGCCTTGTTTGCCTTTTCAGTCAGTTCCTCTTCTGTCTTTGCTACCACCACTACTGCCAGGTCATCCGCATATCCAATGACTGTTATGTCTGCAGGTTGATTGATCCTTAGCACTCCGTCGTAAGACAGGTTCCATATGTGGGGTCCTATCACTGATCCCTGCGGAACTCCGCTATTTATTAGCATTTTTTCTTCGCCTTCGGTGCTCGGGATCTTTATGGAGCGCTCGCTGAGGTAGCTTCTTATAATTCTTTTAATGTAGGGGGTAATTCCTCGTTTGTTTACCTCATCCATGATGGTCTTCCATGCGACTGTATTGAAAGCGTTTCTGACGTCCAGCGTCAGTAGTGCGCAGAGCTTTCTCTTGCTCTTGATGCCTGTTCTTGCTTCCTTAGCTATGTTAACGACTGCTTTTATTGCATCGATAGTAGACCTGCCCTCTCGAAAACCATAACTACACCTACCAGTAACTACACTTAATTACCCAAAAACACATTTTTAATGACTTACCGTTTTAATTTGAAACAAAAATAATTACTGATACTAATGACGCTAAACATAGATAAGCAGCAAATTATATGAATAAAATAACTATGCACAGAAAATGCATAGTTATTTTGTTAATATATTTTGCAAAAATATTGTATAATTTCAAATAAAATGACTGGAAAAGGTGAGCTGATTTTCTGAAGTGTTCATGAATTATCAATCTATGTATATAGGTTTAATCCTAATATCGTTAATACTAGCTTTAACTATACAAGTGATTATCACGCAAACTACACCAAGATCTCCCTGCAATTGCGGTTATCGACGAGAGGTGAGCTTATCAAAACGAAATTATAACTCATTGTAATTAATTTCTATCTAGATACGCAAATCTAATGGAAACGAGGCTGGAAAGAATGAATTTACATACATGAGCGCAATCTACGATACGAAAATGAAGAAAGGGCTGTGTGGTGCCACAATAATATCTAGCAAATACGTAGTTACAACTATAACGTGTGTAGAAGAATTGAAGATAGATAATTTAGTTTTGCTTGTTGGAACGAATACTTTGAGTGACAGAAAGTATAAAAAATATTTCAAAGTATTTAATTATTGAATCTACAATTTCTTCAGGAATCAAGCCAGGTCCTGCGGCTGTTTATCCTCTTAGAAATATAATGACTCCACAATATTACTACCGAAATGAATCTGACATAGCCATTGTCCAAACTTACGATCATATTCAATTTAGCCTTTACGTTGGACCGATTTGTTTACCGTTTAAGTACATCGATGATCGTCTCGATAATAAAAATTCTATAATTTTGGGTAAGTAATGTAAATTATTGCGCTTTTTGAATTACAACACTCTGTGTGTTTAGGTTGGGGAAAACCATTTCAAAACTCGAAAGATAATGTTTTGCTTAGAAACACCGTTTCTACTATCGGCAACTCCGAATGTCAAGTTAAATTACCTGAGGTAAATATATTGGAAAGCGATATTTGCGTGAATTTTGAAAAGAAAGGTGCATCTTGTCAATTTGGGTCTGGAGGTTCGTTGATTCTTCGAGATGAGAGCACTAATCGAGATTACCTTACCGGTTTGTTTATCCATAACGTGAAGTGCGCAAATGAGGAAACTTCTGTTTATACCAGGGTTACCAGTTATTTGAGTTGGATTAGGACTATGACTCCTGGTAATGACTGAAAATAGAAAAAAAAAACTAAATATCAATAATTATATTTTTTGCAGATGCTCACTACTGTACTAACTAAAATTTAAATAATTATTTTAACTTTTAAGTAAAGTTGTTTTGCGTTCGGGTATTCAGTTACAACATGTACCCGGAAACGTCCAGGAGGGGTTTTGATCGGTGGCCGGGATTTTTAAAATGTATATATAAAGAAACATACATTGTTATAAAAATAATAAATAATCCTTTTTGAACTATCATTATTCTACATTTTAAAAATTAGTATCCTCTTTTGTAGAGGAAATCTTGTACGGGTGGAGTCGTGGTACTGTGCGATTCTTAGGTCACTTCACTTTGTTCCGCATAACATGTGTTGTTATCTTTGTTTCCATTACTGCTTTTCATTGGTCTTCTCCAACCTCCACTCGTCTTTTTCCTTAGTGGAGAGCAACCCTACCACATGTTTGCTAGGATGTCATAGATCTCCGGCTCTTAAACATTTAAACAACGTCTTCCTACCAGTCTAAACGTTTTCAAATATGGGAACTAGTAGATATTTATTTTGGGATTTACTTCAAATATTTCTATTTTTCGAGAAAAATCTTATCTACCGGGACCGGTCGAAAACTTTTCAACATTTATTCTTTTAAAATTAAACAATCGATACAAAAAAAAATGCATATTAGCTTCCTTATGCACGTGCATAATTAAAAATAAAAATGTATCGCAGGTGTTTACTATGTGTTTATAATTCTGTCGTGTCCCGGGATGGAATATATCAGGACACTCTGGAATAATTTGTAGCTTTATAGATGTAAAGTCTTATTGGGTTTTATGGTTAAGTCTAGATTAATGTATTTAATAGTATTTATTTAACACTTAGATGATAGACTTCTTAATATTGCTTCCATTTGCTAACAAGTAACAGCCAAGTTTTTTTGTCCTATGAAAATGTTACAATGAGATTTCTATTAAGTTCGGAGAACGAGTTCCGTGTGATATAGATTGGAAGTAATATATGGGAAATTAAAAATTGAAAATTTAACTGTTTATTAACGTGACTTGACCCTCATTTTGGTAAGATTAGATATTTATAAAACGTCAATACATTTAGTGTGTAATATTTAGTTAGTTAAAAATATTAAAATATAAAACAAAAATTTTTTTATACATATAGCCTTTGGCCAGATAAAATATAATGTACATTAAAGAATATTACATGGAGTTTTCAAATATCAAGAAAAATATAATTAAAACTTATATTATATTCAATTAGAAATTACAATTTTATCCAGATAATACCAGTAACAGTTTTTTACTCTTGCCAAATGTGGTAATTCCATTCGAATGTCACTCCACTTCACTTTCATTAAAAACACAGACGTGATATTGTGTTGAATATAGTTGTTATCAGTTTACCAGTGGAAGTTCTTTCAGTCCTATCCTGGTGATTTCTTCAGTTTTACATTTTTCTGTATGATAAATTGCACTTTTGAATGCAAGCCCATAAAAATCATGGTGAAGTCTTCTTGTTCGTGTTATCTGATAGAAAAGGCTGAAAAACTTTAGTGAAGTGATGTGCTAATATGTTTGTTTTTTCTAGGTTACTCCTAGCAAATTTATCATCGGTTTACCTAATGGTTTCGAACGGGGATAATTCTTCAAAATGTTTTTGAATATCTTGGATTTTATAATTTTGTATCATGCTTTTTAGAGACTTGGTAGCTTGGTTTAGCTTTGTTTTATCTCTGGGGTTTTTTGACTCAAGGGGTGTGATATATTTATCTTTATAATCTGAAACGTCTCTTGACGATTTCCAGGCTGTGTATTCCAATTTGTATTCATCTACTATAGTTCTGAAGTGTTCCCAGTCTATATGCTCGTTGTACAGTGATGGTGGTTTTAACTTACTCTTTGTCTGTGTGCTAGTACAATATGTTTTATTGTGTCCAAATCAACAAAAAACATGTGTAATGACTCTTTTGTCACTCGTTGTTTCACGTTTTGTATTTCTTGGGAGCTGCTTTTTGTTTTTGGGAGCTCCATTGTACTTTTTCTAGAATGTAGGCAAATCCAAGCAAGTTCTGGTAATGCGATAAAGCTTGCAGAATGTTCTGGAAAGCCAAGACAATTAAAGTGGTGTTGTGTCTGAGCATGCAACCATACTTACACACTAAGCGATATAAGTGAGCAATATTTAACAGCAGTTAACAGACAGTAGAAGTACGAACACGTCTAAGTAATAAAGCAAATATATTAAACTATTGTTCAAGTGTTTTAACCCAACAAACAACACAAATGGAATACTTTTTCGCAAGTTCCCATACATTTATGCCCGGTGCACTTGTCACACATGTCTGACGTATTCATTCATTGATATATTTAATTATATTATATGTATTGCACGTAACCAGGTTCATCATGGTGCAAACTTTCACTTTTGTATACAGATTTATTTTTTAACTCTTAGGGTACGTCCGTCCCCATCGACGCCTGATTGAGAATGATGATGTGTATATCAGTGTATATAATATAGCAGTGATTCTTATTAAATGACAATGCATTAAAATAATTGTCTGAACTATTAAAATAGTTTAAAGAGAAAATATAGATCTCGATTACTGGAAAATAATTATCAACCCACTCGTCGTACTATAAATATTTTAATGTTGTATTTTATTAAATAATACATAATTTATAATACATATTTACGAAATAAATCAACTATTTTAAAATTTCAACTATTCAACTATTTTAGAATTATTTTGATATTTTTGTATATAATTTTTCACAAAATTTGTAATACGACTTATAAAATCTAGTTTATTTTCTTCTTCTCTTTCTTCCAATCTACAGAGAGTGGAAGTATGTAATTTAGCTCGCACTATGTGGTGCATTTAGCCAGTCTATGCCTAATTAAAGACCAGACCATTAAACATTTAAAAAACAAAAAATAAATATCAGCACAAACAATAACAGAGCGAATAACATTAAAAGAAATAAATAAATAACACCAAATCAATAGAACCAAAAATAATAATTGACTCAGTAAATCTAATGCAAATTCTAGGCATCTTCACGCTGTTTCATATACCGGTACACAGATGGCGCCATTTGCCGCTAACATAAATTTAAACACGGCCGCTCACAGATAATGCTATATAATGGAAATAGCTCGGTAAAAGTTATTTGATGTACGATTGTGCGTCGGAGGTTGGTTAAACGCTCATTTGATACCAAATGAAAAGTCGAATTTCAATCGCGATAGGAGTCAAAAAGTGTGCGCGCATCTTTGTGTTTTATCTTTCGAGTGTGTAGCGATTATATAAATAAAAAATATAGATATATTTATTGCTTTTCATTGATCTATAAATCAGAACAATCCCAATAGAATTCAGGAAACCACCAGAGATGCTGGCGTTCAGATACCTGTGTAAGTATTCAAATTTACAAAAAATAAACAACTTAGAATTAACGCATTATGTTTTTTTTTCAGTATTCCTCTTAATAGGAATCGCTTACACCAATTATGCTGATGCTAAAGTTAATGTTGACCAGATCCTCGATGAATCGCCAATAATTGATGGGTATTAAAGATCATATCTTGAATTTTCCACTTAATACATTATATATTTTCTTTCTAAATCATCCAGACACAATGATTTACCTTACAATCTGTATCATATTTTGAAGAACGATCTCAGCAAATTCAATTTGAACAGCGATTTGACTAATAACAAGGATTGGAAGGACTGTGATTCGTGCTTCACCGATCTGCCCCGTCTCAAGAAGGGTAAAGTCGGAGCGCAGGTACATTTTCGAAGAATAGAACGCATTCTTCCAGTAATTATCTTTTTCATTTTTGTTTTATAGTTTTGGGTTGCTTACGTTGGATGCGGTACGCAATACAAGGATTCGCTGGGGAAAACATTGGAACAGATTGACGTTATCAAGCGTCTGGTGCAGAAAAATTCTGAGCACATGGTGTTTGTCGATTCGGCAGCAGGTATTAATTAATGTTTACATTCACTTGTGCGGTTCACTGATTTGATGTGTTTGCTTTAGGTCTAGATACTACGAATGGAAAAATTGCGAGTTTGATCGGTATTGAAGGTGGTCACTCCATGGACTCCAGACTTGGAGTCTTGAGAATGCTTTATGACCTAGGAGCTAGATACATGACCTTAACGCACACCTGCAACACACCATGGTATTTCATCAAAAATCGTAGTTTTTTTTTTCAATTTAATTATATGTTAACGTTTTCTTTCAGGGCCGACAGTTCTTTGGTCGACACGTCAAAACCTGTACATGATCTATCGGCGTACGGCGAGGTACGTTCATTCATTTTTACGTAATTTTCAATATTTGCGATGACATCGCGGTTAACAACAGTCTCATTTGTACAATTAAATACTATTCAAATTTGCAATTGCTGTATAACTCGTTGATAAAAAATTATCAAGTTTCACTAAGTCGTACTGGAATAAGATAGTAAACAAAAAATTAAAAAAGTGCTGTCAAACAATGAAAAACAAAAAAACGAATTTAAATTTAACTATACAATGATATAAAAATAATATCTTTATTGCTAATTAAATTGTTACTTAAAAAAATATTCCCTTGAATATTTTTGAATGATGTGCAACGTTTTTCGATTAGTTTTAATCTTGATTTCAAAAGGTATAATCTCCCTCTTTAAACTGTAACGCTTTTAGTGGCCTTAATCCAGTCAATCGCGAAGGCCCCAATTTGCGTTGCATAATACGAAACCCATCATTATTTCTCTTTTATCGATCATCAAAATTATCGCGTTGCTGTTTGTTTTTTTTTTTTTGGTATTATCTAAATTTAAAAAAAATACAAAAATGTGCATGAAACATTTGGAAGAACTGAGCAAAAAAAACAAATATACCTCTACGAGATAAAGTCAAGTGGAAGTGATTTGTATCTGGAAAACATTACTTTGCTATTTATTATTGTTGATTTTTGTGTGTTTTCGTAAATTCTATTTTTGAAATGTCGAATGTCTCTCGTACCAAGCGTTTCAAGGACAGAAAATTACGGTTTAACCACGAACAAGCAAATGACAAAATAATGAAAATGTATGAACGCAAAACGAAGAAGGACGTGCATTTTCCAGGAAAATGAAATGAGCGATTTTGCTGTTTAATTTTGTATTGTCGTGCGATGAGTAACACGCGAATATAATATCAATAATCTGAACAGGTTTCAATTAAATCAAGCTCAAGTATTTGTCACGCACTATTAGCAAAGCGATTAGTGACCATTCCATTATATTCCAACAAAACGTATACAAATTATTAATACAACCTTGATTTAAAAAGAGCAAAAAAAAACACGATTTATATATAAAGTAAAAACGCCGATTATCCGGGTCTCAATTTACCGTGTTAACAGAGGTCGCGGAAGCCTTAAAGTTTACTTAATTTATAAGCTAATTAATAAAATTGTCTCTGCAAATCAACCATTTAGTAAATCAAGTTAAATAAACAATCAAAAATTGCAGATCACTTTTTAAACTAAATAAAAGTGATGTTGACGGTTTTCTTAATATCATAATTAATAATGCTTTTAAAAATGTATTTAAAATTATGTTTTCTTTTTAGGAAGTTGTAAAAGAGATGAACAGATTGGGAATGATTGTAGATCTTTCTCATGTCTCTCACAACGTGATGAAAAAGGCGATTGAGATTAGCAAAGCTCCAGTGATGTTCTCGCATTCTTCTGCTTGGGGTGTACATAATCACCACCGGAACGTACAAGATGATATTTTGGTAGCTCTGGTAAATTTATTGACAAGATTTTTTTATTAAATTTAATTTTAAAAAAAATGTTATTAAATTGCAGAAAGAAAATAAAGGTATTATTATGGTCAACTTTTATCCGGGATTCATTAGCGACAATCTGGAAACTGCATCCTTGGAAGATGTTGCCAGTAAGATTATACATCTTTAATTTGTAAGTGTATATTGCAATTGACTATTGTTTATTTTCAGATCACATTAATTACATCGTTGATAAAATTGATCACGGTCACGTTGGAATTGGTGCCGATTACGACGGCGTCGATAAGTAAGTAACATTTAATCATCGTTGAAGTTTTGAGAGTATTTTCTTGAAACTTACAGTAATTGATGAGGATTACAAAAAAATAATTTTAGAAATTAGTAATTTGACAATTGGAACTTAACTTTGTTTGCAGAGCGCCCATAGGACTTGAGGATGTATCCAAATATCCCGACTTGTTTAAATATTTAGTCGAAAAAAATGAAACGAGATGGACTGCAGATAACTTGAAGAAATTGTCTAGGCAAAATTTCATCCGCGTCTTCGAAGGGGTCGAGAAGGTAAGAGAAATTCGTATTTTTCTTATATGAATGTGTATTATTTAAATTTATTATTTTTTTAGGCTAGAGATGAATTGAAAACCGTAAACCCATTCGAAAGTTGGATTCCAAGTGATGATTTGGATGCGGTCGAAAAACAGGAGAAACTGTGGCAGTGCCGTACTTTGCTCAACAATTCCATTCCTTACCAAAATGCCGCCGCCTCGACTATTCCAAGTAGGATCTTTCTTATCGTCGGCCTCATTGCAAGCTTCGCTATCTTAAGAATGTAATATTTTATGCGCAAATAACGGTGTACTATATTCCCAATGGTTTATCAAATTTCATTAAAATTATTATAGAAGTAGTTATCTACAGCTATCGTGTGACCATAAAAAAATGTTTTTGTCAGTCCTATAAGATAATAACAAATAAAGAATAATTATATTTTAACACTAAATTTACAGAAACTTCATATTCGTATCTGTTTTGCTTTTACAAAATGAATTTAACCGGTCATAGGTAGGTAGAAAAACTGCAATATATGTCGGAAAAAAAAATGTGAAGTAAATAATTAAAAATAATTAATTCATATTTTAAGAAAATTTACAACTTTTCTCATTTTATTTTAGCATATTTATTGGTCATACAATATGAGCAAATGACTTTCGACCAACAACTTTTCTTAAAATATCTCTAATAAATATAATGAGTTTCTTTATTATTTTTCATTGAATTTCATTTAATAAATTATTTATTTACATAAATAAATATATTGTAAAATTTTACTTGTCGCATTATTTTCCATTTTTTGTCATTTTTGGATACCTATTTCTTCTTTGTACTAAGCTCTCATCTGAGAGCTCCTTCGTTTAGCTGAGTCTTGACCAGACTTGTCGACGACATACCTATCCGAATTCGTAGCTTAAGTGAGATACCTAGTTACGGCACTTATTAATATCAAAACTACGGTATTGAGTTATTATTCCCATGATCTTCCCTAAGAGGCTTCCACCTTCTACCTAGCCTGTCACTAACCTATATGCAACCTATAATACATTAATAAGACGATAAAACAAATAAAGACAACCTGCAAGGGATCTACGTCAACGAAAATAAAATTTGGGGGTTCATGAAATGAAAATCGGGGTCCACGATAGTGGAACTCAACATACACTGATACTACCTATTTACTTACATTATACTATTTTATAATATAAAGACATACATTATTTATAAAAGTACCTATGAAGTAAAAAACATATTCTATATGTTTATAAAATTGTGTAAGTTGTAGGATGTAGGCTTTCGCTTTGTGGTCGCAATACATTTTGCACCTGCACATAATGATATACCAGTATCATCTTGTTACAAGTATACGCGGAGTCTCAGAACAAAGATCTTAATAATTATAAAAATGTCCCAATATAAAATTTACAAAAAAATCAATATCAGGTAAGTAGGGGGTCTATCCAAAACCGAAAAACATGGCAAGGGGTCTACGACACAAAAAAGGTTGGGAACCTCTGGTATACACTTACAAGTTTATTTAAAAAAATATACTTATATATACCATGACTGAAAATATACACTAACATCTTAGATTACAAATTGTTATATGTAACTAGAATATAGAATTATTAAACAAATTGCTCATTTCGGTAAACAATTGTTCACGTCCAAAGTGAGACAAAATGGCTCACAGCGGAATAATTATTTATAAATATTATACGAGCGTTGTATTCGGATATCATCATGTGGACTTTGCAGTACACTCGAAAGCTTGCCGCTGTTTATTTCAACTCCATTGTTTCATTCAAACACTTCTATAGAGTGACGGATTATATTTATGCAGTTTCTAATTACTTGATTATTTTTGAATCATCAAATTGTAGATTAAATTTGATGCATTTCACTGTGTAACGTTCCAGTGGTTGAGTGCTTTGGTAGTTTCAGATATTGTTCAATAAACTAGCGTGAATTCGGTGAGTATTATTCAAACTTTCAAATAAGTTAACAAACATTTGTTAATTTTTATATAACCACTAAAATTATATTGAATGTTTAACGCGTCTATTAAAAATAGTCATGTGCTATGTGCTTTATATAAAAAAATATTAAAATTTTCCATAAAATAGTTAAAATTCCTTCCGAATTAATAACGAGATTTTTAGGTTTCTTTATTATTTTCGTTTAAAATATTATTATTATTATTAATCACCAAACAGACGAAGGTTGAAGAAATGTAAAAGTAGTAAAACTTAAAAATATAGTAATGGAGCTGGATTAAAGTGAACATTGTCAGGAAGTGAGGACAAATTTAAAATTGGAACACAAGCTACAAAAATATCCTATTTGGGCAACGTAAATGAAAATTCGCATCGTATTTTGATTTCTTTCAACATTAATATTATATTTTTTCTACACAATATGATTTTTTTTCTATACAATACTGTACACATAGGATGTTATTACATAACAACACTGACAATTAGAAGAGTACGAGAAAACGTTCCGAAAGCATTGAAAATAAATACAATGCCTACATATTTATATGGAATGATAACATCTACATCATTAATCCGACACCAGAAGACGGCTCAATAACTATGTTTCTTTTCTTTATTTTTCAATGATTATTATTAATTAAATTAAGATTTAAAACATTCAATGTTTTAACGAATTCATCATTGAGTGCTAAGATTATTTAAGCACGGTAGTTCTTGTGCAGCTCAGGTTTGATGTCATACACCAAAGCCAAAACCTCTTGCATTACCTGAAAAAAAAAAAGAAATAATCATTAGATACAGTAATTACAACAAAACTTATAGAAGCCAATACAAGAATATTTTATGAACAATAAACGCATTAGATTTGCGAAACTAAGATATTATTGATTATTAAGCTAAATTGATCTTTCAAGTATTGAGTGAAAGTTATATGTTATTGATCAGCTGATGAGTACGAAGCATGTGACTTACGGGATCCTTTTGGGACATGATGGCCCTGTTCATGTCATCGATGCGATGCTTGGTGTCTTGCTCGATTTTGACGGCAACATCCTCCCTGGAACCCATGTGTTTTGCCTCGAATTCGCGGAATTGGTTCTCACGTTCGCGACGGTACTTTTCGATCTCATCTTGAGCTTCCTCCTTGGCCTGCTTTAGCCTCCTAGCCTTGCCTAACAACGAACAAAATAATCAACAATAAACAGTATTAAATTAATTCTACTATTTGAAGATAGTTGAATTGCATTAATATTGATTACATAAATATAACAAGTTGAATATTTATTGCAATAATTAGCACATTCAATGAGTGAATGGAAGACCATCATGTGATCATCCATACCTGGGTTCCTCCCTTAGCACTACAATCATGTGATTGTAATAGAAAAGTTACATCACTAATTTCCATTCAATAATAATTAAACATAACATTTACATATTTCTGAATCTTCACTTGTTAATGGATTTTATCAGCTGTGTAATAAAAACAAGCTGTTAATCTCCTGATAACTACATAATTAGATTAAAAACAAATCATGTGAGATATTCATCACATGCTTAAACAATACAAGAAACTACAAAATCAATTACAATAAGATCATTCTAAATTGGGAAAAGTAGTGCTAAAATAACTTGGCTAAGCACAAAGACTTTTTTGTCATTAAGGAATCTATTGAAATATCTCGATGCATAGTGATTTGCTGTCGGAAATTAAAAACCCGTGACCAAAAATAGGCTACACACCCATTAATGATTTTTTAGTGTATGTATATATATATATTTGTATATTAATGTAAAGTCGATAGAAACTTACGTTTGCGGGCCTCTGCAACTTTATCAGCTGCGCGTTTCTCAGCAGCCAAAAGCTGTTGGATTCCCTGCGTTTGGCTTGCCATATTCACTTTGAATAAATTCGATGTTCTGGACTATCAACCTAGCAGAACTCGCAGACGACGACCTACAAAAATAGTCATATGATTTGCCTTTAGTTCATTGGAGGTGGCGTTGCAAAGAAGCGACATCTGTTGACCATACACAATTTTGATGTAACTACGTAATCTGGTTGTTATTGATTTATTCAGATTTACTTATATATACACATCTAATAATATAACATACATATGATCATTATTTAAAAAAATTGTTAGTTTTGTATGTTCCTTACAACCAATCTTTGTTTCCGGCTTATTTTTTCTTTGGATATTTAAGTTTTTTTAAACACAAACAATTTGATTTATGGTCTATCACAAATTAATGCTACAAGTTCTTTGACAATTCTTTATTTATATTTTTTTTTTATGGGACATTCACATTACACAAACACGTTTCTTTAAATTCATAGAACATCAAAGCTCGAGTCTCTCTAGATTAAGCAGTTATTCTCTATACATGCAAGAAAGAAGAGGAAGTTATGCCTGAGTAATGAAACTGGAACCATGTGTGATGCAATACACCATCACTTTACTCATTATAAAAATAACGGTAGAGAAACATAAATGCAGTATTTGTTATTGTTATCATTACAAAAAGGAAAGAAATATTCAATCTTATAAACGCGTTATCCAACATAAACTCATCTTATCGATATAAAATAATATATCTATGAACAGTAAGTAACCTTTTATGAACTAATTGTTGTTTAGTTTGTATAAGACAGGGAATCAAATGCAAAATGGATTGTGTGTTAAGTAATTACAAAGAGATAATTGATGAATAAGGACTCATTAATTTAGTTGCGCGCAAAATAAATTACTCGACTTTAAGTAATTCTACATCGAAGATTAATGTGGCGTTTGGTGGGATAATTCCTGGATGGCCACGGGATCCGTAAGCGTAGTCAGGGGAGCAAATGAGTCTAGCTCTTTGTCCAACACTCAACTGAAAAAGAAACATTTCAATTAGTATTAATTCTTAAATGGAATATTCATTTTAAAGCATGAATAGTCAGGGTTAAAAATAGTAAACACCATAATCAACCAACCAAAAACAATGTGCATCAGTTATCAGAGCGCAAGGATATTCAATCATCATATAATTTATATTTTTTGAAGTTTAAATAAATTTATGTAACTTACTTGAGCTACACCTTCATCCCATCCCTTGATAACTTCTCCCTTTCCAATGCGAAACTTGAATGGTACTCCACGGTCACGGGAGGAATCAAACTTGGTACCATTTTGCAATGTTCCAGTGTAGTGCACGACAACAGTTTGTCCAGTTTTTGGGAAAGTCTGGCCTGTAAACAATCATCCTTAATTTACATTATCAATAGCACTAAAGAAAAAGAAAGATATATCAAGGTCATGCAGAATACCCCAAATAAGGACATGCAAAAGGGCTGAAGAAAATCAAAGTTATCTTGTGTCAATTTCAGTTACGAACTTCCAGTTATTTTGTTTTGCGCTGAGAATTTACACAGAAAAGGGGATTTTTGCAATAATCTTTAATAATGATATTGGTTTTAGGAACTCACCATCGCCTCCCGCAATATTTTCGATTTGTACACCCATGGTTTTTAAGAGAATTTCACTGAAATATTAACGAAATAACGACTGTTTAATTCACCTTTCGGTTGGTTGAGTATTTTATATGTTCGTAGTAAATAAATATGTTATGGCCTCACTTACCGGCAGTCCCTGCGATTATCCAAATTGCAAATGGCGACTTGTTATCCCCACTATTAAACGCTTGTTCAAATAGGGGGAATGCCAAATAACGGAAAATTTATTTCCGCATTTCCGTGCGTGCGCTCCTCCGCTTGGCGCGAAATTTAAAATCCAACTCTTCGTACAGATTATCTTCTTTTTTCGTGCTACCAGTAAGAACATCTGTTTTACAAACAATTCTGAGAAAACGCTTTTTATGTTTGTTTTATGCCAGGTTTATGAAAAAGGACATAATGTTGATGCACATCTGGTTGCCCGTAAATTAATAAAGAAAAGAAAGCAAGTAAAATTTAAATACTTTATTATGCATTTAAATAAATAATGTATGTATATTATGTAAGCCATTTGGTAATACGTAAAGTTTGTAGAAAAAAAATTTTCTAAAAATACTTAATATAAGGCTATATACATAAAATTGCTAAAGTAAAGATTGCTTGTTAAAATGCATACAGTATAATTAATGCAATTCGATGTGTCTAGTTTTAAGTACATGTCAACACGTTCTGCATCGCTTTGAACTTTTGTCATCCTTGTATTTTCTCCTGAAATATGGAATGCGATCTAACAACCCGCATAAAATACTGCCTGGCAATCTTTGATGAGTTTGCACTAAATCTCGAATAGCGTTTGCGATCTAAAATAGAAATACGTTGGAGTAATAATGAAACAAACGGAACAGAACAGAAACGATAATTACTTTGGCTTGTAATTCCTCAGGTGTTAAATTAGGATCGTAAGGAATGGGTTTGCCGACGTGCGTCGTCAACTTCACCGGAAATCCGCCGTAATTCCAAGCCAACGGAAATTTAGTCCAGGCGTACAGCCTGAGGAAGATCTTCCTTCCGAAGGAACCGCACAGTCCAGCCCGGAAAGCTTCTCTTATATTTTCGGTGAACATAGGTATAATCGGCTGAAAAAATACGAATACTTATTTTGCTATAAAGAATTTATTCATATCTCTAACCGATTTGGCATCCAATGCGACTTTCGCAAAACCCAACCGCTTCTTCCATAGAAGGTTGTAGGTACTGCTCGATCCAAACTGGGCTTCATAGACGCCTCCAGGTGCAATCCCCAATAAATTACCTTCCTTCAAAATATTCGCGCATATCAATCTCGTGCCAGGAATTACGTTCAATGCGTCGGCTATAATAGAAAAACCTTAAAGCAGAGTTCATTATTGGATCGTTTTCGAAGTGATTTTGTTTAATCCGCACCAGGTATTTTGAACAGAAAGTTATCAGCCACCGTGTGTATCAGTCTGTTTCTAGTTAAATAGACTTTCGCTATAAAATAATACATATCTACAGGAATGGAGCCGTGATAATAAACTATTAAAGCTGGACTATCGGTTGGGATATTTTCGATGCCATCGATTTCGTATCCTGAAAAACTTGTATGCTGTATGTTTCAATATGCATCGTATTAAGAGAATGTTCACCGTGCCATATCCAGCCGTGAGCATCCCAAATTGCCGAAACAATTTTGACTCCTGTTCCCCACATATCCCGTGCATCTATCGTCCTCTTTAACGTATGCCAATGAAGTTTGTATATGTACAAAATTAGTGCCGACAGGTAAATAAGAATTCCGATAACGATAGGCAGTAGAATGGTTATCACCAGTGGTGTCAAAAGCCACGTCAGCCATAGCGAGTAGTCTATGTCGATGTATTCAACTACAACAGAAAATGCAAATAGTATTAGCATGTTTTGTTTTTTCAAAACATCTTGAAAATTTTAAATGATCAATTTACTTAGAAGAGGTGCTATTTGTAGGGGGAAGGATAAGTGAGCTCAAAAGGGTGAACCACAATAATTAATCGAAATTTCGTAAGAATAGTGTACACCAAACGGACTTACTCACCGTTAGCCTGTATCTTTCCAGATTCAACTGGCAAAGCTGCACAGACGTCTACATGATATCCAAAGTACAGCAAAGCAATCCATACAATCATATTTATCCCTACATAGAATTGCAGTTAAATCACATTGAATCATCATCGCGCATCTTTTATCTAATGCCAAACTATAAAATGTCAATATTTTAAAATCTACTTGATTGTTTTTCCTATTGAGGTTTGCAAGTTAATTAACAAACACATGTCGACATATTTCAAAATATTAAAAAATGTGCATATTCTAAACTTTATCACAAAACTATTACCAATTATATTTAAATGAGACCTTCAACTGTTGATTAATGAGTATTTACTATGAAAAAAGCAAACATCACTGATGCAATGCATCATAATTAACATATACTATTCACTATTTAAAATAATATAATACGAATTCAAGGATTTACAAAGTTCGAAACATCTTGTATTTTTTATTAATATAATTATATTTTTTTAAATGATTTTGAATATTAATGAAGGACAAAAAAAGCATTAAATTAAATACGTGAGTATTTTATAATCAAACTGAATGTTTCTGTGCAAACCGCAAACAATTTATTGATTTTCCACGCCAATATAATCCAATGATAACAAAAGTAAACAATAGGCATTTGTTTTATATGGCTTTTAACAATCGTTGTTGTTTTCGCATAAATTTCTTTTTTACATAACACGCAATTTTTGCTCGGCTTACCTAAAAAATCGTATATGGAATTCTTTGTATCGTCCAAAAACAACCACATTTTGTTAGTAACCACAATGGTAACAGTTGTGAATCGATACAGGATTTGTCTTCATTCATTTAGAGCCATATATTTCCACTTATGATATGAAATTTTGAAAATAAATCAGATGTACAATAACAACAATCAACACATGATGGTGAACAGCTGACAGACGTTCAATAACTGTCAATTGTACTGACACTTAGTACTGCTTACGAGACTTACTAGAAAGTTTATTCTGTTGAATTAACAGAACTCATATATGTATATATAGGTAAACTGAAATTCGTTAACAACATGTCGTATGGTGGGGGAATACATCCTTGTTGTTATATTCTCATAATCAATATATTATATATGTTAAATAATGAAATATATATTTAAGTTTTTTTTACAGATTCAGCCATTTTCAGATATCCAAGAAATCCTTCTCTTTATATACGTTTAAAATTAATAACATGATTTTTTATCATCCATTTATTGCAGATTATTTATTCACTGCTTTTACAATATTAACTCTGATTAATCATAAGGAATTCTAACTTATCTAAGAATATCTACTTTATTGTTAATTTGGATATACTATTTTTATAATACAGGTCTGTACTTGAAGTTGCATAATCAGCTTTAGGGACTTTTAACCATGTTGTATACCAACATCACCCAACATGTTAGTGATGTTAGTCAGACACTTATTGTTGGTGTGTTAATGTCGATTATTGTTGGAAGGAAAGTGTAGTTAAAGTGGCTTAATTTTGCATTAATTTATACTTAATCACTGCCAGCTGTAAGTTAAAAGCCTTAATTATCACCCAGAGCAGTTTTAGGGCTTGAACTAACTCCTAGAAATTAGACACAGGTGAAACAAAAAACCATTATTTCATAACTGCCTCTCACCAAAACAAAAATAACACACACGATAATTATTTGCTATTTTTTTATGTTTGCGCTTGATATATTAATTTGCCATCACCGGGAATGCATAGTTACGGGCTTTATTGATCCTTCCCAGAAGAAATACCTAAATGGGTCATTTAATTTTAGTATTTCCAAATGCAATTGTGAAATGGCACACACACCTGCACTTGTTTTTGTTTATTGTTGGTGGGTTCGTTTTGTTGTTTTTTGTGCATGCTTGCTTTGTTTAAATGGGTGTAGCCAATAAAGTATTGAAACAAATGTTCTCTACTACAAAGCAAATAACTGTTACTCTAATGACATAGTAGTTAACCTTCATAGGATATTTAAAAAGTTAAATACACTTTTCACCTCTTCTGATTATACTTGCATTTCTTAATACAGACATATAAGGGATCAATTTTCATCAATGATTTTGTGAAATATTTCAGTGTGTTGTTGAGTTCTGATTAGTTTTAATACAACTGATGTGCATTAGGTGAAATGGTAAACACAAGACGCACAGAGTCTAGTGGGTTGGCCACAGATAATGGCCCTCGCTACCGGACAAGGGTATGTGTTCTAGATCAAGACAATCAGCAAACCTTTTTTTATTTTACATACATATGTATATTATTTTTTGTTTCAGTCATTTTCTAACAAACAATGTTTTATTATTATTTTTAATTTAACATAAACAAACATTTTAATTTGTCATATGCTTTTGACATTCCAGTGTCTATTTAATTTAATTTCTATTTATTAATTTATATTTTATTATTGCTCCATAAGTGCTGTATCAATTGATTTTTTTTTAATTGATTTTATTCAATTTTAGACTACAGTACCTATATTGGGTTCTTCTTGTGAATCAGACAGTGGAGGGCAAGGAGAAGAAGAAGAATCTGCAGATGAGGAAGATTCCTGGAGTTCACAGGGAAAACCCAAAGTAATAGCAATCAAGAACAATAAACCATTAGTACCTCCAAGAGTTAGGGAATTGAGGAATCGATTTGTATGTGAAGAGAGAAAATTTAATCGTAATTTTTTCCTCGGTAATTCGCCAATTATTATAATAAATTCTTGCCTTTTCAGCTCTAAATATATTTAAGCGGAACTTAAGAAGTTCAAGGAAACTATTAGCTGTAAATGATCGAAGACCTAAACTAGCAGTTTATTCCTCGCATAAAATGCGTGATGAATTAGAATCGGAAGATGAATATTACAACTCACAGTAATATATCAACTACAACTTAAGTATTCTTCACTAATATCTATTTATTTTAGTCGTCATTCTCGGAGGAATCATTATGCTAAATCCCATTTATCTAGACTGGAAAGACGAACTGCCTTATCACTAAGACCAATAACAAGGAAGTCTTACAAAGATGATGTTGATATTGCTACATGTAATTCAGATGAAAGCGATTGCACTAGGGATATTGCGGAAGTGAGAAGAAGCACCAGAAAAAGGAGTAATGGTCACAGCATGTCTTGGTTAACAGATAATCAAATGCATAAAGTCGGCTATCCGAATTTAGATTTGGATGATGAAGATAGTAGAGATGTCGAGGTAAATTATTTCTTGGGATGCGTCAGGAATATACATTAATAATTTTCTTTCAGGATCATCATACGGCTGGTAACCACAGAAGTACAAGAAGTAAAAACTTGTCATATTTGTATAGTTTGAAGACTGAGGAGATGCATTCCACGCGCAATGGCCAAGTAGAGTCTCACGATAAAGAGAACAAGAAGGATAATAATATTATAAGTGGAAGAAGCAAAGCGAGACGGGTTAAAGTCGAGGACAAAGAGGAGACGTTGCAGGCCGACAGTCAAAGTGATATTAATGATACCAATGCTGAAGTTCGAAATAACCAATCGAAGACTCCCGTATGTGAGAGTGGAGAGGAAAATGAAAAGGTAAATGGTAAGATTAGCAAAGGGGTGAAACGAGAACAAGAAAATAATGTTGATGACAAGAATGAAGATAATGAAGATGAGGACAACGAAGAAAAAGCTCAAGGTAAATAATATTGTCACCCACCATTAATTGATTGGTATAATATTAAAATAAATCGCATATGTTTTGCAGAAGAGGAAGATGATGAACACAATTCTGATGAAAATAAGCCCGTTGAAGATATGGGTGAAACATCTGAAAGTGAAGACGAAATAATTAAGCGCAGAACTAGTAGAAGGAGGAGAAATAATTTCCCTGATACTACAGGTTCGAAAATAATTGATAGCTCCAGCTCATCGGAAGTCTGCCGGTATTCCTTGCGAGATAGATCAAAACCAAAGCAATCCACCATAACTCGTAAATTATATATAATTTCATTTAAATACAAATAATTCAAATATGTTTCATTTAAGTGAGGGAAAGGTCGGTTCATTCCAGACATAGATACACGATTCGTAAAATCTCCACTGATTCTCGATCAAATGACTCTAGTGACAATGAGGAAATGTGTAGAAAAAATAACAAATACAGGTTAGTTATCTATAATTTCTATATTCAAAATAATTATAGTATCTTTTCTATTTGATGCAGTAAAAATCCAAAAGGACAACATTCAAAGAACGATCAGCTAAAATCTGGTGGAAATAATGTTATACCAATTGGGCCGGACACTTTAGATCCGGGCATTAACTTTAGTAGTGTTGGCGGTTTAGATAGTCATGTTCAATGTTTGAAGGAAATGATTTTACTTCCAATGATTTATCCAGAAATTTTTAAGAAGTTTCAAATTCAACCTCCTCGCGGAGTACTCTTTCACGGACCCCCAGGTATTTAATTATTATTTATCATTTATTATATTTTACTACATAAAGTCTCATGTCAGGTACTGGAAAAACTTTATTGGCACGTGCTTTAGCCAATGAATGCTCGTTTGGTTCTAAAAAAGTGAGTTTTTTCATGAGGAAGGGCGCTGATTTGTTAAGTAAATGGATTGGAGAGTCGGAGAAGCAATTGCGATTGCTATTTGAAGAGGTAACATACTTAATTATATTAAATAAAAGTCATACTAATTTAATGTTTTTTATCGAAGGCTGCGAAACGGAAACCATCTATCATTTTCTTTGACGAGGTTGATGGTCTTGCGCCAGTTCGATCATCAAGACAGGATCAAATACATGCCAGTATAGTGTCGACGCTTTTAGCGTTAATGGATGGTTTGGATAGTAGAGGAGAGGTCATTGTAGTTGGAGCTACCAATAGAATAGATTCAATAGATCCTGCTTTGAGAAGACCTGGCCGATTTGATAGGGAGCTGTTCTTCCCGTTACCAGCACGCAAAGTAATTAATCTTGTTATATATTAAGGAATAGATCACGTTAAATTGTTGTAAACTCTTTTAGGAAAGGGAAGAAATATTGAGGGTACATGTATCCCAATGGGCGACTCCACCAAACGATCAATTGATTTCGTACTTAGCTGAAAGTGCAGTTGGATATTGTGGTTCAGATTTAAGGGCACTGTGTTCCGAGGCTGTGATACAAAGTTTTAGAAGAAACTATCCGCAAGTTTATAATTCCAATCATAAACTTCAGGTGGATTCAGAGAACGTTAAAGTAAGTCATCTAGGTGTTTAAATTGGATGTAATAATATTTAATGTAATGCGTCATAGGTAGAAAAATTGGATTTCTTGAGAGCGAAGTCCGTGTTAGTACCTGCATCGCATAGGGTCACAGTGACTATAGGCAGAAAGCTATTACCTGTTTTGGAACCATTACTTCAAGAACCACTAGATCACATTCTTAAAACGTTGGGGCGTTCTTTCCCTCATGGGCTCGACCAGAATTTAGCCAAGTAACGTTAAATATTAATTGAATGAAATTTCTCTTATTGACATTTTTGTTTACTTTTTTTTAGAGTAAAAGTTTCTGCTAGTGTGAGACCTGCTCAAATGCTTCTCCTGGGTAACGGTTACACCCATGGACAGTCATATTTAGCAGGTGCCATCATGCATACCATGGAACACATTCATTCACATATATTAGACTTGAGTTCATTACACAAAGAGTTTGGAAGATCTGCTGAAGAAGCCTGCGTTCAAGTTTTCCACGAAGCCAAACGGAATGTACCTAGCATTATTTACATTCCCAATATAGATCTGCTCTGGAGGTTGCTTAGCGATACTACCTTGGCCATCTTCGTGGCGCAGCTTATCCAACTAGATCCAAACAGTCCGATCCTTATTTTAGCCACAGCGGATAGTTTGTACGAGGACATCCCCGACCAGGTAAGTCCAGATAATTACATCTAATGTGAGTCTTTATTTACATTTTATTTATATTTTCAGATTACTAATTTATTTTCGCGATATCGGAACGAAGTATACGAGATTCAAGTACCCGACGAGGATAGGCGAAGGAACTTCTTTAAACCATTAATTGTGGACGCCTGTTTGAAACCACCCAAAATTCCAAGAGATAATATGCAGAGTCCACCTCCGCTCCCTCGAGCTCCGACACCTGAGCCCGATGCACTTTCAGAATCTGAAGCCAAAAAGATGTACGAAAAGGAAGAATCAACGATGGTGGAACTGAGGATATTTCTACGCGATATGTGCAAGAAATTGGCATCAAACAGATTGTAAATTAATCAACTTATGTATTGTATACTATTGTAATTTAAAACATATTGCTTTTTAGATTCTATATGTTTACCAAACCTGTTGATACCAAGGAGGTTCCTGATTATACCACAATTATTAAACATCCGATGGATCTGGAAACGATGATGACTAAAGTAGATCTACATCAATATGAATGTGCTAAAGATTTCTTGGAAGATATAGAGCTGATTTGTCACAATGCTTTAGAATATAATCCGGATAGGTTTGTATTTGCTGTTTCTATTTATTCCCTTTTTATTTGAATTGTATTTTATTTTTAATTCTAGGACATCAGCAGATAAGCAGATCCGACATAGGGCTTGCAGCTTGCGAGACTACGCGTACGCCCTTATCAAGAATGAGATGGATAGCGATTTCGAAGATAAGTGTCAAGATATATCGGTACAGCGCAGGAAGCGTAAAGTCAAAACGAGAGATTACATACCACGATATTTGGATAAGGTTTGCAAAAATGAGATTGGTAAGTTGTATTTTTTGGTAAACTCACTCTTTATTATTTTAATGTGTATATTATAGATGAATCCAAACAGTGCGAAGATTCGAAGCCTTCGTATACTCCATCAAGAGTTGGCATATCTAAGAAACGAAAGATGAACTCTTGGTGTCGGGGGATTTTAAGTAAGAGGCGAAAGAAGTCTAGTCCTTCGAATGATATGCAGAATGGAGACGTAAATGTAATTAATTATATTTGAATATGTTAATCATCAGTCTTAAACATTATTTTTCTATAATATAGCACGAATTGGACGACAAAACTTCTGAGGAGACCGAGAACTCGAAAGAAGCAGACTTTGGAAACAATACGGAAATGTCGGTAGAGGAAAACTTGTCTCCTAATCTAACGGAACCTCTATCTGTTAATTGTGATACAACAACTATACACTTGAAATCGATTCATACGTAAGTATTTGTCTATAAAGTTTTAGCTCAGACAAAGTATGTAAGCGGATGAAAGTTAAAACATCCATACAACGTAAACTTTTAAAACGGATGACGGCATCATATACAGTGTTTGCTTTTTCCCTAAACGAGTTTTACAAACAAAATGCTTGAACAGAAGTAAAATATGCAATAGTCATTATACAAATTAGTTTCTTTAATTTACAGTTTATTTATTATTTTTATAAAAAATATAGTTTGCTTCCGTGACATTCTGTTGTACATACATTGACTTGCAATGAACTTCCGCCTGAATTCTTTATAAACTGTTAATGTAATTTGTTTCTTGAAGGCCGAACAGTCGTAAGTTATGCGATCTGATGAGTCCATCAGAGCTCTTGGGTGACCCATTAGATTTCGATGACGTGGACCAAGCTTTAAATGAGAACAGTGAGTATTCATGTCCAGACTAAAATTAATTTATTAACTGCGAATTTGTTTTTAACAGGTAATTCTGTCGAAGAACAGAAAGTAGACATAAATGAAGAGCAGTTGAAAGCCGTATTAGAAAAGGCCGTTACCATTACCACCGACCATGCACTTCAATCATTGTTGGACTTGCATTTTCAGCTTAGCAGGATCGTCAAGGAATTTATTGGACTAAGTAACAGATCAAAATTGCCAAAGGTAACGAAATCAACTTTTAATGATTGAAACCATTGACTCATGTTTTATACGTTGTTGCAGAAATTGAGAAAGGAACTCAAAAGGTATCAGGGTGAAAACAACGTAGACGTTGTGCAACCAAACAAAAATAATACAACGGATTGCTAAGAGGAACTAACCATAACCGAATCATCACTGCCGAATTATTTTTATATACAAAGGGATAGGATTTTATGCGGCCGCAGTATTGTTTGTTTTTTTAGATTACCTTAAATGTAATTACTTTTATTCCATTCATTTTTAATGGGTACTTTGATTGTTTACCGATTTTCCTTTTCATTATCTCGTCGATAAAAAGAAAATAAAAGAAAGTCGTTCACTGCCAGATTTCAGATGTAAGAGATGAAAGAGATATAGCTTAAACATAATATATAATTATCGCATCTTATTTTCTTGATGTATTTATTAATTCTTTTCTTTCGTTTAGTGATTATTACGATTAATTTGTATTTAAAAGAAACAATATGAGATATATGTATAATTTTTCTTTAGTTTGGAGATGTTTTATTTGTAATAATTAGAAAATACGAACAAAGAGAGAGAGAGAGCTAAACACAAATTTTCATGTTATTGATTTTAGTCTTAATTGTTCATGAGAAATCAAAATACAATATTTTGTGATGCCGAAAGCACTTTAATTCCTGAAAAAATAAAGTACATATGCTTAAACTAGAGATGACTGCATCGTTGACAAAGCATCAAAGTCAATACACCAATGTCCATTTATTGTTGTTAACTCATTTATCAAATTGCTATACAGGTTCATTTCAAAAGAGATACATGTCTGATGATTGAATTAATACGTAACATTTCTACTTCAAAATGACCACATTTACGAATTCACGTTCTTTTTAGGGGATTTCCCCAATTTGTCCATTACTGTTCGGATGGGGTTAAGAAGTGTCAAAGCAACAATATTGTGTTGTTAATAAATGATATTTAAATAAAAACACATTCTATGAATTTCATGTTTGATTTTAAATACGCTTGTATTCCTATGTGTATTATGTATAAATTACGAACGCATAATCATTTGCATCAAGTGTGTCCAGATGTCGATGTCATTTTTTGAACTGATTCGATATAAATTTGCTGGTTGAAAACATCAAAAAAAAAAAGAAGTCATCCTTTATTTTTTTCTTTATCTTTGGATGTGAGCACGATGTTTCCTTGCGTTCATTTTAATCGAATGAAGATCGGTTTCAGATGGCTACAGTAAATCGAAATCGTTTAAGTAGAATTCACCCGAACAAATCGAAGACAGATTTCTCGAAGGTTGGTGGACTCGCGAATCACATCAAACTCCTAAGGGAGATCATCATCTTGCCGCTGCTATACGGCGATTTGTACCATCATTTCAATATAAAAGCGCCCAGAGGAGTAATTTTCTACGGACCTCCTGGTATTCTATAATTCATTCAAAGCGTTCTAGTATATTTAATGTTGTTTCAGGAACTGGAAAGACATTGGTGGCAGGAGCGTTAGCAAACGAGTTAAATAAAGAGGGAAATGGTAAAGTGTCATTCTTTCAGCGGAAAGGAGCTGATATATTAGACAAATGGGTTGGAGAGTCCGAGAGGAAGTTGCGTGAACTTTTTGAAAAAGTTGCGGCCTTTTTTTTCAATTTTAATTCATGCTTAATGGTATGACGGTTTCAGGCAACAAAAGCTCGTCCTTCGGTCATATTTTTTGATGAACTCGATGGTTTAGCTCCGGAACGTTCGATTCGTAATGACCAAGTGCATAGTAGCGTTGTGGCCACATTATTGGCCTTAATGGATGGTTTGGATAATATGTCAGGGGTCATCGTAATTGGGGCCACAAATCGTATAGATTCCATTGATCCGGCTCTTCGGCGGCCTGGACGTTTTGATAGAGAACTTTATTTTCCTTTACCTTGCATAAACGCTCGAAAAGACATCTTGCAGGTATTGTGAATATTGCACATAAATGTTGTTACTTCTTTGCCGTTTCAGGTACATATGAGGACTTGGAAGCATAAGCCAAATTCCGATTTTCTGAATCATCTAGCTGAGTTAACTACCGGCATGTGCGGATCTGATCTGCAAGCTCTGTGTGCTGAAGCTGTTCTTTGCAGTTTAAAACGGAAATATCCGACAATCAACCAGAAACCCAAGATCAATATTGAGGTGGAGTCAATTAGAGTTGAAGAACAAGACTTCCTTAATGCCAGATTGAATATAACGCCAACTTCTCAGAGGTTGGGTAACTGCAAGATGCGTCGTCTAAGCGCGTTCATTCAGCCGCTGCTTCAACGGCAGATAGATAAGATCGTAAGACATATCGAAGTACTATTGCCGCATTTTACTCAAGTCTATAGGAAGTAACTACATATCTGCGCGACAATCGAAGAGAGACCGTTTATATTCTCGATAGATTTTTAGTTGGGAACGAGCGGTATGCTGGTAGATTGGTTCTCAAAGGCAGCGCCCAACAAGGTCTCAATAATCACGTTGTTCCGGCATTGCTGCAAACCTTGGAGCACTTGCAGAGCTATGTCTTGGATATACCTGGACATTACAAAGTCTGTGGATCACGCGTAAATCGAAGAGCAATTAATCGTATCATTCCAGAAAGTTATTTCGAGCGCAATCCACAATTTTCCATCGATTCTGGTGCTCTCACGTGTTGATGATTGGTGGGATATAATAGACAATAATATTCAAATGTCCATAAGTTCAATGTTGGACGATATTCACGCCGGTCTTCCGGTCCTGCTGATTGCAACCTGCAACAAAGACCTACCAGAAATGGTATAGATTTAGCTGATTTCATTCAAATGAATCAACAAACATTCATTTACAGTTGCAAGATCATTTTCATTATAATAGCAGCATCGTGATGCAACTGGAAGATCCGACCTTCGAGGAACGCGAAAAGTTCTTTGCACCATTATTTTTCGGCAACAAAATTTTGAGCGTTTTCCATATCTGGAAGGAGGAAAATCATCCAAAAGTTAAGGGTAAGGAAGAGATCAAAACAAAGATTTTGCCAGGAATTCCTTTTATTATATTATTTAAGAAGAAAGCGACGAAGATGACGACGAGAGCAAAATTGTTACGAAACAGAAAATTCGATTGATTATGAGCCGTACGACGAGGTTGAGAGGAGGTGGCGGAGGTTGAGTTCGCTAAAACTGTTATATTGTTTCTAAATCGTGCTTTTACATGAAGGTAAGCGAAGGCAATCGAGGCGCTCACTTTTCATAAAGCCGGATTTGACGAGGATCAAACATTCGAGTGGTAGGATTCACAGGTTCAGGGAATCCGAAAGCAGGAGGTGCATGAATAGTAGCCTTGCAGCGCTCCAAGAATGTTACAAAACAGCGTTAAATTATGCTCGAACCAAGTTTGGCGTTTCCGAAACAGGTACAATGAAGTAGATAATAAAGCTCACCGTAAATGTTCTTTTCATAGAAAATTGCAAGAGCGTTCAAGCTTTGAGGAATCGACCGTCTGCGGCAGACAATCTCAAACATCAACAACCGTCTACCGCTGTGACCGATCTGGTCAATTGCAAAAAAATCATGACTCCTCAAACCTGCGTCAGTAAACCTAAAGAAAGTTCTTGCAACGTGGAAACATTGTACTACAATAAAGGCATTAAAAGGGAACGGGAATCCGATTACTCGGTAAACCTTCCAAAGCATTCAAACAATTTCAACGAACTTGTTGACACGACAGGTATCGAAGGTATATAAAAGAAAGATTAGATTTGATTTGAAATATTATGACATATTATTCTTTTTCAAGATAATAACGTTGATGACATATATTCTTTGTGGAAACGCGTTTCGAATGTCACTTCCGATGGACTTCCGGTCGTTCAATTGGAGCTTCTGTATGACACTATTCTAGCATGCATCTATATTAACAAAAATAGTTTCAAGGATGTTTTCCAGGTATCTATTTATCAATAAATTATTAGTAAATCTAATTCACCCAATGATATCTTTGAAGATTTAATGAAGCTTTAAATATTTATTTATTTAAAAAAAGTATCATCGAAGTCCAGTAATACTTACAAAATTTAAGTATACGTTACGTTATTAGCAAATGTAAATTGGACTAGTTTACTGTAGTTAATTTTCATCATCTTCAATCCAAACACAACTTAACCGTTGCTAATTTATCCTTATTTCAATACAACATAATTTTAGTCACATTTAGTTTGAAAAAATATAAATATTTCCAGTTACTTATATTAAAATACAATTTGTATGTAGGAACACAATTAATTTTGTTTGAAAAAAATAATTGAAATGTTATTTATGAAACAGTTTAAATGTGATAGAATTTGAATGCAGATCACTAGACTTTCACATTCAACATTAATTCAAAGATTTCACCGTTTAGATTAGGAAACATTATTGTCTAATGGAACAATTCAAATACATTACATTTCGCTACGAAAAGTTTTATATAATTTGACATGTATTTTAAAAATGAATTTGTTTTGTCTGAGGTTCTAAAAAGATTAATTTCGTTTGATTTTAGGGTTTGGAAAATGCATTGAATAATTTCGAAAGCAGTTGTTCCAGAGATGAGTACTAACGATGGTGCAATGTCTTCTTTGTGTACTGAGAGATAATTAAAAAAAAAGTATAAAGATGATATTTTGTGGTAATCGAATTTCTTCGATGTACGTGTGCTTTTCTGTGTTGTGTTAAAGCTAACAACTGAAAATACAGATACATTATTTTAAAATAATTTTGTCTTTCTTAAATGCGATTCGGAAATGTCGAGCGCTCCAGATGACCATTTATGTACATATTTGGTTTAATCGAATTGCTGCTCTAATTTAGATCGCGTCTCTTGCATAACCATTATCTATGTCAATATCAAGCACAAGCTTTTCCACTTTAAGTTCATGTTCAGATGCTCTGTGTATATGTGTGTGCGTGTACGTATGTTTTATGTTGTATGTGCGTGTGCTTGTTTGTCGCATATTTTGTTGCGCTCGGATTTCAGTGGATTTCAGTCTTCGATTCGATCTAGCAAGAAGAACACGTTCAATTTCCAACACTTCCACTTATCGACTTTTTTTTAAATTAATTTATTTTTATATCTCCTCTTGCATTCATTACTAATATGACAATTTAAGTGAATCGACTTACTAAAAACTGAAACGAGAGACTCGACGACTTCTGAGAATGCGGTCTTCTATGATTCCACCGTGGAGGTAAGAATAAGCTAAAAAGTTTTAGTTAATTTGATTAAAATATCTTAGAGCCGTTGCTTTACTAATAAAAAATATACAATTCATTCGAAAATGTCTCAGAACTATGAAAACAAATGGATTGCATTCAACAAGTTGAAACCATTTTAAATATCGTTAAAGATGTTCTAATAAATATGAGATCATTTATTGTAATTCCAAGATTCAATTATGATGTTAACAGTAATGTTAATAGTAATAAACAATGTATTTTTTATTGACTGGAATGTACAGGAATGATTAAAATAAGTTTTAAAAGTTAAACAATATTTATAATTATTTATTCAAATTATATTTTTATCCAATAAATGATAATAATAATTTTGATTTTTATGGGAATTAGAAATAGAATCGTAATAATTAAAAAAAAAAATGGTTATTGTGGTAGAAAGATTGTGATCAACAGTCATTTGTATATTTATTATTAAAAGGTTTTTATTGAATTTTGTTGCCAAAGAGTTAAAGTCTTTCCAGAGCAGAAATTATTCAATTTCATAAAATTTTATAACAATGATTTATCCATTTTTTAAATTCAATCTGTGATATAATGGTAATAAATATATTCTTAATGAGCAAAACGCACATTCCTTTAGAATTGAAAACAAGTTGATTTTATATGAAGAAGTTAAAGATGCCGATAACGCTCTAATTATAATATTGTAAATTTGAGATCATTTATTCAGATTAAACAATTAATTATAGTTTATTATTATTATAATGTAGATAATAGTTGTATATAAAATCGAGAAGCGTTAGAAATGTAATTTTAAATAATGGTATGTAATTACGATTTTTTTTACATATGAGATCATTTATTTAAATGTCTAATGTGTTTCTGAGAGAGAGTGCATCTTCTTAATTTGAACGGAATTATATTACACAGACGATAAACGAACAATTACATCATACGTTATTTTAGAGAAACGCTTTCAAATAATATTCTTTGTATAAAAATGGATACAAGGATTATCAAATAATTTGAGTTAAATGATATCATAAAATTTAATCTGATAGTGCCACTAAAATAGTAAAGAATTAACTATAAATTTTCACTTCAAAATATTTATTATAACAGTAATAACTTTCTACAAAACATAATAAAGTATAATATTAGCGCTAATATTATCGAGTTTTTTAGAATCCATTTTTTACGTACTTGTAATCTTATTATCAATTAAATCTTTGAGGGGTCAGAAATTTCTAAACCCAACAAATTTTATATAATTTATCAAATATTATATAATTTATTTTAAAAAAAAGTTCAATTTCCTAATTATATAATGCATATATAAAAAAAATAGCAAAAAGGTATTCATTAAATATGTTATATCTGATTTCAGGTTCTTCTTGATGGTGTCAATGTTCCTGGTGCCTTTGGTCTCTTCTCGTAAGTACACTATTTACATAGGAACAGGAAGAAAAGTAATTAAATGAATTCCGTTATCTGTTGGGAGATGGAATGACTTTTTTTCTTTCATTGTATCCGAGATGCACTTCGTGTGGGCTCATCTCTTTCGCAATATTTACTTACTTCGTTTATGTTTATGGAATGTCACGTGAAAACATCCCACATAACGTTGAGCAACGGCGCTTCGTTGTTCTTCGCATGTTCTTCCGAAAAATAAAATAAATTCCGGAGATTATTGTAGTTCACATCGACGTAAATTGGTTCAAATTATCAAATCATTCCCACATTAGAAATGAAGAATATAAAATTGTTTTTTGTGACTTGAGACAAACAAATAATAACATTGTAGATATGTTTAAAAAACACTCTTAAATCTATTGTAATTATTTTAAATGATTATTATAACGATTTAAGAATTTATTTAATTATAAAAACTTAGGTCTAAAATGTTTTGAACTTGTTTAGAAAAACAGGTAATACCTTACAAAAATTGCTCATGAATTATTTTTGAGTACTCTAAATGTGTAATTTTGTACTCTTTTTACACCAATTATTTACAAATAAAACTCGAACATCGAGGCGTTAATATTTTGCGTGCTTCTGAAACCATTATTTTTTAACGAAGGATCGAAACGTATGCCCTAGTTTGTTCACAAAACAAAACAAGAAATTGAGTCTGATAGTTATAAGAAATAAACTGGGGGTTAATCCTAGGGTTAAGAATATATTTGGAAAAGAAGGTAGAAATATTTTATATAATCTTCTGAGAAGCCTTCATATAATTAATTAAAGTAGTTTTAAAATAAATTGGAAGATGTTGTTGATGATAATTTTATGTTTGAAGAAGTACTAAGTGTAAATATGTTATTAAATGACGAAAAACTGATTTTCTCCTAGCAAAAAAATAGGTTTAATCAATATATGTATATATGATTATGAAGACTTTAGAGACCGGAAATAACAATGGATATCTGCATTTGAAGAGAATAACTTATTTTTAGACATCGAAGATGTGATTCAATTTATACAAAGTAGAATAATCGACAAGGAATTATAGTGTCATAAAGATCGTAAAATCGATTGGTCGATGTGTATGGCAAATCCATTAAGGATATTTGACCTCTGCGACGACGAACGATTGCATCTTCTCTAGAACTAGGATGATACATTTAACACGCACAAATCTTGAACAAATTGCATACATTAATAGAATCGCTTTAACAGCTCCAATTAATATATTCAGCGCTAATTAATGGGAATCTCTTTCTCTTCATTTCTCTATTTGTTTTGTCTTTGACGGTAAACGTTTGAAATTAATTCCGCAAACATCTGTAGTCAGAGTAATTAATTTACACTTCATTGCTTTGGTTTAATTGTTTTTTTTTTCGTTGCATGCAGAATTGAATATCATCGATGAAGATGTTAGCGGACCTTGCGCCGATTACAAAGTGGGCGATGACGATCTTCAGACCTACGATTACATCAGGCAGTTTCGTCTAGATGTGATGGAAACTCAGTATCCAGGTGTGAGCAAAGTTCGTGGTTCGAACAGAATGCAGACCGCATATCGCCTGGATCGTGAAGCAGATTTGACTCTTCCCACAAGGTACTGATACTTAACACAAATCTTGAACATATCTTTGCAATCAGATTGTTCTTCAGGACCATATTCCCACAAGGATTACCGGAGCAGTTCTCCTTCATAACGACTTTCCGAAACAAGAGGATTCCAACTGCTATTTGGCATTTGATCCGTGTTACAGACATCGAATCCAAACCACAATTCGTCGTCGCTATGAACCCAAGAAATCAGACGATCGAATTTTCAATTTCCAACTACGAGGGACGCTTGCAAACTCTGATCTTCAAGGAAGCCAACGTACATTTAATTCAACTCGAAAGTATCAATTGTTAAATTAAAACCTAATTATTTCTCTTAGGTGTTTGATAAGAAATGGCACAAAATACACTTCGGAGTTTCCAGAGAGTATGTCGTGCTTTACATTGATTGCGAGCGAAACTCGAAGGAGCTTCTCGAACCAAGAGGACCGATCGATGTTAACGGTGAAATTTCCATATCAAAATACGAATATAGCAATCAGACGAATCCAGTAAGTGCGTCGAAATGTACATTTCGGCTGTTCAAATTATGAACAGCTGTAATATTTGTAATATAAATGCACCGAAACGTAAAATATTATCACTACTAATGTTTTTTTATAATGTTGTTTGCAGAGCAACCACGGGGTAAGTGATTAATCCATTGATTAATAGAGTAGCTTAGATTTGCACTTGTAGTTTCTAAATAATAAGTGTATTTTTTTCTAATAAAACAAAAATAAGAATCTTAATATTTTATTAGATCGATTTGCAATGGATGGTGATGAGTTGTGATCCAACGAAACCGGAAAGGGAAACATGCAATGAACTTCCAGTAAATATAACGGATAATAATTGTTTTTTTTACCTAATTGAAATTGATCTTCTTCAGTTAGTTCCGGCGTTTCAGAGGAGCGGACCAAGTTTAAGTAAATCACCAAATTGTTCATTGACTTGCCCGAGGGGACCATCAGGAATTAATGGAACAAAAGTAAGAAATTGTTAAAAAATATTTTTAAATTGATTGATTATATTATATAATGATATAAAATAGGGTTTGCCGGGTTTAAATGGTCTTCCCGGAAGTCCAGGATTTCCTGGCTTGAAAGGTGAAAGAGGCGACCCAGGATTCATTGGTCTAAAAGGCGAAAGAGGACTTGATGTGAATAAATTATAATAAAAATATTCAATTGTGAATAATCAAATTTGCTATTCAGGGAATTCCGGGCCAGCCTGGTATTCAGGGGATTCGCGGCCTACCAGGAAAAGACGGTCTCTTTGGTTTAACAGGAGAAAAGGTAAGTATTTATCTTCAAGCGGACGCACGTTCTAATGAATTTTCTTTGTAGGGACTTAAGGGTGAACCAGGACTGGGACTAACGGGTATTAAGGGCGAAAAGGGAGATTCTGGTTTTCCAGGATTGAAGGCAATATATTGAACGTTATGACGACTATCATCAAATAATGTAATATTTGATTATATTTCAGGGAGAACCGGGTTTTGTTAACATAATTGGTTCTGGAGAAACAGTGGCCGGTCCTATCGGACCTCCTGGCTTAATAGGTGCTCCGGGAGTGCCAGGTTTACCTGGTGAAAGTGGTCTTCCTGGTAAACCAGGTAATGATGGTGTTGATGGACTGAAAGGAAATCCAGGTAATGATGGCTATCCCGGAATCAAAGGTGATAAAGGCGAACCAGGAAGCGCAACGATTGACGCCACGGTGAAGGGCGAAAAGGGAAATCCTGGCATTTCCGGATTGCAGGTATTATATTTAAAGAATGATGATGATTTGCCAACAAAAATAACATAATAATAATTTGAAAATATAATATTGTATTTTTCAAATTTAATAACAATAAATCATTATTGTCTATTTACATTTTATCTTGGTTCATTTAATTTAGGTAATATTCTATTCTTGTTCAGGTAAACTGTTACGTTCTAGTAACAAATAAAATATGCATATGCACTTTAATAAAATATATGCAATATAAGAACAAATTAAGTATACTAAATATGTATTATATTACATCTTTAAATTTGTTTTATAATAAGTTTTAAAAGAACTCAATTCGAATAGAAAAAGGTCTGGCTTAACGAAATTATAATATATAACGATCACTTACATTTCTTGCAATTAAATATTAACTAGATAATATTATAAACATGTTAATGAATATTTGTAATAGGGAATTCAAGGCATTGTTGGACCTAAGGGAAGTAAAGGAGATATGGGATTTCCGGGAGTTTCGGTATGTCGACAAGATGTGAAATTTGTATTTGCTGTTTTTCATGGATTTATTAAAGGGTATCGACGGAAGACCGGGACAAATTGGACCACAAGGATTTACTGGACCTCGAGGCCTTCCAGGACCACCGGGCCCCCCAGGAGATGCTGCATACAATAATATTATTCAGTCGATACCGGATAATTACATTCCAGGAGTGGCGGGTCCAAGAGGATTGCCTGGCAATCCAGGAATGGTTGAAAATTTATATAATTACCCTCCAATATATAAATAATGTTTTGTTTGCATTATAGCCGGGCGAAAGGGGTGCCGCGGGAGAAAGAGGTCCGATCGGACCTATGGGACAACCGGGAATGCCAGGAAAGGAGGGAATGCCAGGAAACCCTGGTTCTCCAGGAAAGCACGGCCAACCGGGATTGCCCGGACATCCAGGTCCAGCAGTAAGTAATCCTTTTTAGAGAGTATTTACATTTATTAAAAATCACAAACTACAAAAAAGAAAATTTCCATTTATTATATTAGTCACATATATTTTAAAGTACATATATTATTACATATAAAATTTAACCTAGATAAATATATATATAAAACAATACATTGAATTTTACATACCAAGAAGTTAGAACACTTCGTAAAACAAATATAAATAAATTAGGTTTTCAGTATCTTGGCATGGCTAGCTAGTCGTTGAACTAAAGCCCCTTTGAGTTTGCAATTAAGACTCATCTTAGACAACTGCGATGAGGCGTATTTCTTTCTGATGGCTTGGAATTTAGACGTCTCAGCCCTTACGAGGGCCGCCGAAAACTCGGCCATCGTATCTTTGATATCTGTATAATTGTATGTGGAGTAGTGAATCAGCGTTTTGGTCCAGACTTGTATTGGTTCTAACTCATTTAAAACGCTGATGGACAGGCAGCATGCGGCAGCCGCTTGCAGTGATGGCTTTATGTGACAAATTCCATATTCCAAAAGGGCCAGCTCCAATAAGTATTTGCCTAGCGTGTGGTGCGGTGTATTTGCCTTTGCAATTTTATTGAAACGCCTCAAAAAATGCAAAGACAATGGTCTGCCAAAACTGAATTCCAGTCTCTTCAAAATATCGCCTTCCATGAAAAGAATTTGTTTTTTACTGAACGAATCGTCGCAAATGTAAACAAAGTCAGATATATCAGGCAATTCATTTTCTTCGTACTTTCCAGCTACCAGCATAGCTGACGTGCCCACCAACTGTAAAGTCTCGCGGCCAATGTTCTTATTGGCTTGTAAATATCTGTCCACAGTAGCCACAGACAGATGGAATGTTTCGGATAAAAACTTGAAATTCAAATGAACTTCGGACATCCAGTTTATCAGGACTGAACGCATTTTCGGCGTCGATTTGTGGTCATCATTTAAGAAACCATTTTGAATTGAGTATTTGATCTCTAGGTCCATAAGGTATTTCATAATGTCTTTAATGTACTCAGCCACAAGCATTGGATCATCTTGTGATTCGTCAACGTCAATTACTCCCAACTGCTTTGCAGAATAGGACTGTTCAACTTTGCAAATATTTATTTCCTTAATAATCGGAAGTAAATTGCTCTCTTGTCTCTTCAAAATAACTCCTTTTGAAGGATTCACAACAGTTCTAAACTGCTCCTTCTCCCTGGATAATATTGCAGGCTTGTTAGTCTTCACCACCTTAATTTCTTGCACACTTTTCAAAGGGTTACTTTGAATAATTGGCTTTTTCAAAGCCACATTATGATTCGATTGCAGGCTCAACTGGTTACCCAATTCACCTAAAACAGGTCTCCGCGAAGGTACTGCAGGCCTTACAGTGGGTTTTCCAGGTCTTGTTGATACATTTTCTCTATTTATATTGGTCATGATCTTTCTTGAACGGGCCTCCATCTACATAGCAAAAATGAAAAAAAAAAACAAAAAAATATTAACATTAAATTTGATGCACTATATGTATTACTATAGAATTTAGCACGTGATAAAGCTTCAATAAAAAAAACTTTATTTAAATCGGCCATTTAAACATAAAACCGTTAAACGTATGCACTTTAAATGAATCACAAATCCCTTTAAATCCGGTGAATATATGTTCGTAATTATTTGCTGGACTCACCTTGTTAAAATTCGTTTATAAAATAGGCATAAATTATATAAATTATATCGTAAAAAAAGACACTATTTTGCTTTTGATTTGACTGTTAGCAACTGTTAGTTGTATATTTTGTATATGTCAGGCACGCACTAAGTTTACTCGATTGTGAAGATGCAAATGCATCCATTGGTTATAAATTGCATTTGGGATGGGTTGTGGTGGGGATTTCAATTTCATTGGTTGGCGAACTAACGAACTTAACGGATTTTTCATGGCGCGAATGTTTGAAATGTTGACCATCGAAGGTTTATGACCGGTTCTGTTTTCTCTTTAGGGTCGCAACATTTTGGATTCGGAGATTCGAGAAATCTGCGCTGCAGTACTCAGAGGTACGATAACAATTTATTCTTAGAAAAAAAAAATAAGTTTTTGAAAATATTTTATTTTTATTATCATTATGAAAGTGTTAAATTTTAGCAGTAATAATTGTAAACTGTTTATTTATTAGACCAGATTAATGAGTTAGCAGCGACGTTAGTAGGACCACCAGGTCCTCCGGGGCGCTCCAAACCCGGAAGACCTGGGGCTCCAGGAGTCCAAGGCCCTCCAGGTATACATTTGTGTGTTCGTTACAGTAATTGACTAGGTTTAGATTAAATACATGACTCTATTAATCATACCTAATAACCGCACGTTATCCTAGACCAGTATGAAGAACTAACACAGGGGCTTCAGGGGCCTCCTGGACCACCTGGCTTAAAAGTTATTGGCAAACCAGGAAAAGCTGGAACCCCTGGAATTCCAGGTTAGCACTAATGATTTACACTATACCAAATAAAAAGTGGAATCAATTGAAAATACGATCGTTTCTAGGTGTACCTGGAGCTCACGGTTTACCAGGTGAAAGAGGATTTATCGGATTGCCAGGACCGAGTGGTTCTCCAGGTTTTACAGGATCACCTGGTGAGCGCGGCGACAAAGGTGAGAGAGGCCCAGAAGGAATAGGAATTGAAGGACCGGTGGGACCTAGAGGCCCGCAGGGAATGCCAGGACCTCAAGGTGAAGGAACACCGGGACGCGCAGGAGAACGTGGAGAACCTGGAAGGCCGGGTCCTGCAGGAATTAACGGGTCTCCTGGACCTCAAGGGGCACCTGGATATTGCGAATTTTGTAATAATTACGCGCAGAATTACCAAGCATATGCTCTTCGAGCTCAAGGGAACAACAAAGGACCCTAAATTTAATACTGCCGATATTTGAAATACGTATTTTATTTTAATAATTATTAATTATGACAGAAATTGTTTTCCAGCAATAAATTCATTGTGTAATCTATTTATATTATTTTCGTAAAAATACAACAGCTCGTAGAACATCAAGAGGCTCTAAACAGCTCTAAATTTAATATTTGAAATACGTATTTTTAAATTAAATTATTTTTCATAAAATAAATTAATTCACTAATGTATTTATATTTTTAATCCATTCCTAGAAAAACAAACTTCTTTTGTAGAATATTTTTCGTAAATTTCAACGTTACCCGGAAGTGTAACGTTAATGATCTTCCTGCAATGCATTAAATTAACAATGAAATCAAGAAAACCGGAACTATTTTTTTCCTATATAAGATTACAATCAGTAATATATTAAAAGAAACAAGACTAACCAGTCGTTACAAAGCAACAGAATAAGTAAATACAATAGATACTATTAACGAGAATCTGGAAGAAAAATATGTTCTTCAACTTTTACAGGATTACTATAAAATTTGTAGATGGATGTATCATATTTTAAAATCTATGTAAACATTATTTACATTTGGCAAACTATCTTTTCTTCATTTTTTTCATTCAAACTTGTTTTTACACGGTTTTCTTTAAATAAAAGAAAGGTGAAATTGAAGAAAAATGGAAATGTGGTTTTCATCAAAAAGGGTTTCTCCTGAATTTCAATAACTCTAAATAAATTTGAATAGTTAGTTTTAGCATACCAAAGAGTTCTATGCTAAAACTAATATGTGATTAAAAATAAATAAGTAATTGATTTTTAAATGTTATGTCAACGTTCAATAATTCAAATTTTCATTGCAGTCTATATTAACAATATTATAAGTTAAATGATTTTTATATTTTATCAATTAGATATGGTTAATAAAATAAAATTTGAAAAAATCTACATTAATATTGATGAATAAAACAATTCTGATCTTATAACGTTTAACGTTTTAAGATCAAATGAGACAAAATGCTGTGTTATAATCAAATGTAAAATGCAAAGTTTTAATAATTAATAAATAATATGATATTATAAAATTCATTTCAGATTCTAATTGCGAAAAAAAGCTATTCTCGGAGATGTTCAATTGAATGAATTATGTCATCAATAATTAATGAAAATTTGAATGTAACAACTGGAATGTTATTTTTCTTAGTACTTTATTATGTAATTTTGTAGAAACAGGAAATTATTTGTGTGACTTCCTGCGTTCGAATTGACTATCCTAATTTAGTAAAATAGTCTTACCGAACGGTAATTATTATTAGTCTTTTAAATATAGATTAATTATGTTTATAAAAGTACGGTTTTTATTGGACCAGGTATAATTTATTTAATAGATAAACTTAAGCTGTAACTAAAGGTTTGTTTATTTCCAAAATTCTATATAAAACTAATCATTACTGAACAATAAGTTTAATGTTCAAAATTGACTTTTTAAAGGATTACACAATTTGGCAACGCTGTAATTCGGGCAGGTGCTAAACGAAGATGGCGTCGATGGTATTGAGTGAATTCCGAGATGGAAAATAAGTGGTTTTCTTGGATATTAAGTGAATGATAATTGACGAAACGAACGGAATAAGTTAAAGTAAGTGCATTTAAATCAGATTCCATGCATTTTGATCGGAGTTCGTGTTAGGAAACGTTCGAAAACTCAGATTTTTTCCTTCCATTTGACAGCTCAAACTGATATACCCATCATCCCAATATCCAGATGATATAAATCAGTTTTAATGTTTGGACCAGTTTGGACGCGGACAGAGTAGTACTTAAACGCTTCATTAGTTTTCTTTGCATTCGCAGCGAATGATCAACTGTGCGTTTAGTTTTAGTGCTATTTATAAACCGATGGTTCCGGCCGTCCGTCTTCGGTCCAACAATAAGTTGCACAGCACCAATGGTCATTTAAAAAGTGTCAATTGATATGACTCCAGGCAATTTATCAAAACAAATACGAAACACACCAGCTTTTAACGAGCCAAATTGATAACAGAATGTGTCAATGAATCTTCTTGGATGCAAGTCACTTCAGCTTTGACAATCTCCTCAAGTGTTGCATTCTAATTTCCAATGAGTTCTCTGTGCCAATTATCTATTCCAATTTTACAATTCACATAGTTTCTAATTCATCACCAACTTTGGACAAACTTCTGCTACATATAGCATTTAGAATAAGTTTGTTTTTTAATGTGCAGGTAATGTGAAACAAACTTTTCATGCAGCCACACTCATAAACTTGTTTGCCCTACATTTAATTATCAAACATGCATGTTGTTGTATATCTGTATACTTTTCATAATCATTTTATTTTCTATTCTTCTTGACCCAAATAAAACATGAATGGCAGTGCTTACTACTGATATTCAATTTTCTTTTTTATTGTTATTATTTATATCCATTTCATGGTTCAGTTGTTTGGATTAGTGCAGTAAAGTGACTTAGCATTCTTTATTTCTCTATTTCAGCTCATAGTCAAGATGCAGGGGCAAGATGCAATATCTGGGTCTTCAGACCATCGATTGGCGCTTGTACATGAAATGAGTGCTCATAATTTTGATCTAATCAGATTTGCCTCATACCGGACAGCAATGAAACTCAGATTTATTCAGAAGAAAGTTAGCTGTAAGTACTTAAATTTTAATTAATTATAAGTTCATTTTAAAGCCTTGAAATAATACATACATAAAAGATACAAATATTGCTAATAATAAACTTAATTTATTGAACACAAACTTACAAAGATACAAATATTATTAACTATGATTTGTTATAATTTGTTTATTCACCTATTTATATTGTTAATAGACGTGCTTTATTTTTGCTAATGCCAAATATTATTCTCTTTGTTTAAAAATGTGTATTTAGTGAACTGCTGTATACTATTTATATTTTTTCACAACGTTAATCATATGTGAATTGTTTATATATGAAATGAACTTCCACAATTTATTTAGATTATTTTTATATTATTTATTAAGACTTATGTTCTATATTGTATCCAGCATAATTGGCATTGGAATTTATAGATGATATGTCTGGAACTTCAGTGATTATCCAATATGATTGTTAATACATAATTGATTTGACCTAGTTCTAGATGAATCTCATAGTGCACTCAAAACAGTAAATTGTTTGTGCTAATCTTAGAATGAATTAAAATCTTGAATAACAAATATTTACATATATGTTACTTTACGCGGCACTATTTTTTTCGAATTTTTTATGCGATATTAATTTACGCAGCCAGAAAATATAAATAACGTAGCTCATTTTTTTCGTGAACTCCCTATTATAGTTGCATAAAATAATGCATATACTTTCATGATTTAAACATTCACACGTTAGAATCAGTCGAACTTAATAACGGTGTATTATTTAGTACATAGTAGGTAGGCAACCTCTTTCTCTCAACTCTTTCTCAAACTGTTTAGATTTCAGACTATATTTACGCGATTTCATTCGCGTAAAAAAAATCACATCGAACGGAAATTTATGTAAATTCAGGAACGCCTGTACTTTCTACAACAAAATGTAATTATAAGTTTTTCTACAGAAATCGTTAAAAAGAACAAATGTTATTTTTATGTTTGTATGACGTTAGAAGTACGATATTTTACATTATCAAATATGTTAACAAGTTTACCAAATGTTTGTAATTGTTTTTGGTAGATTTATGTATATGATTCTCAATAGTTTGATATTTGTAACAACAAAAACTAGTTTATTTTTTGAAAAACATGGAAAAAATGATCAAATTTAATTATATAACTTCTTATATAAATCAATATATCTACTATATTGATAGAAAATTGAAAAAGCTGCAGTAAACATTTCAATTTCTACATATTCTTGAAGAATGGCTTCAAAATAAGTATATGTTACTTTCATACATAAGAAATATATTATTTAAAATAATAAACATCATTAGAAAAATGATAATAATTATTAATATTTCCAGAATTGCTTTTCAACAGTTTATGTTCTAATAATAAAATGTTATTTATTTATTATTTTGCAGTACACGCATTAGACATATGGAACGTGATTGAAGCATTTCGTGAGCAAGGTCTTCATGCCTTAGAACCAACAAGCGAACTTAGCGTTGCCAGGTTAGAGACATTGCTGTGTTCCTTATACCATAGTTTAAATAAACGCGCGCCCCCCACTCAACAAGCCCATGTCGATGTATGTTCAAGTTTATTACTGAATTGGTTACTAGCTGCATATGCAACTGTGTAAGTATAAACAAAAATATAATTTAAAAAAATATTTAATTTAAATTAATTTGCTCTTAATTTTAGAGATAATGTTGGTAAAATCAGAGTGTTTTCCATAAAAGTAGCTTTAGCAACGCTGTGCGCCGGAAAATTGATGGATAAATTACGATGTGAGCTGCGTCTATCTGCTAGTAGATCTTTATATCTAAAACAATTATCCGTTTCAGATATATTTTCCCAAATATCCGACAGCAATGGCCTGCTTTTAATGTGGAGATTCAATGAGTATCTACAAGAGGTCCTCTCTCTTCCAGCTGCAGTTTACGAATCGCCGACTTTCAATTACTCCGATTCCGTTTCTACGACCATTTTCAATCCGGTAATATTTGAAATGACTGTTGATTTTAAGTTTCATACTAAGAATTAGGACTTTAATCACAAATTGATGGATATTTGTTTAAAAATAATATATACTACAAAATTTAATATATTGACTAATTATGATTATTTTCAGAATGCCAAGGTTACGGTCAACGACTTTCTGGATATAATGATGTCCGATCCTGGGCCTCCGCCTCTTGTATGGTTACCATTGTTACATCGCATTGGAACAGTTGAAAGCGGTTTGTGTTAACTATCATCTTTTCAGTATTAGTATTGATTGTGCTTTTGATTTTTAGTGGTGCATCCTATACAATGCGACGCTTGTCAAAAAGAAAACTTCGCGGGCTTCCGTTACCGTTGTCAGAAATGTCCACACTACAACCTTTGCCAAGACTGCTTTTGGCGGGGGCGGGTCTCCGTCCCTCACACTCTGGATCACAACGTGAAGGAATATTCATCGTTCTCTCCGACACGAACGATCGGCCATTCTCTACGAAAGTCGTTTCGCTGTGTTCCAGATAAACCGAAAAATAATCTTCCAAGGTTTCCGGAGCAACCGGAAAAACCGTTGAACTTATCGCACATTGTGTAAGTTGTCCTTCCTTCTCAATTTTATTGCAGATTACATTGCATTTCTGTACAGTCCGCCGTCGCCTTTACCTTCCCACAATGGGTTTCCCGATGGCAATAATTTCGTTCCACATTACGACGGGATGGGCAGCTTGGACAGTCGTTCAACAGCTAGAAGGTTTGTCTATTTGAACTAATTGTCCATTGTTGTTAATACTGATTTCATGTTGTATTCCCGCAGTTTGGATAGCGCTCGTGACGATGAGCACAGATTAATTGCAAGATACGCAGCGAAACTAGCGCAAGAGCAGCGCTCAGGAATGGTAAATGTTTTTCTCTTTTTGTTTTTCATTTACATTTCATTTGGATGCTGAGATAAATCTATCTGACCTTAATTATATCAATAAAAATAAATGTGTGCATAGCTGCTATTTTATGTACACTTACAAAATATTTTTATACTACGAAAATATTAATTTGCAAAAGTAATATCTATAATGCTTCAAATGCGCTTCAAATATCGCTATTCCTTTGGAGCGGGAACTTCGTTTCTTTATATGTAATTTTAATTAAATGAAGACTTACAAAAGTCTGAAATGGAATCCATTGAATGTCGAGAAGTGAAACGCGCATAACAATCGAACGTGCGAGACGACAGTCCCAGTACTTTATTTTCTTATTTTGTTTTTAGTCTTTTCATATGTTGTACAACCTTCTAACTTTTAAGTGTGTGCTTTTGCTGTTGCTTTAGCCGAGAGGAGGCAGTCTAAGAAAAAATTCCCTGTCACCCGATGCGGTAAGTAAAGCCAATATTCATTTTTTTTTGCTGCTTCCCTGCTGAAAACAGTAATCACATTACCATCAGAGTTGTTTAAGGTTGTTATAATAATACACATTCTTGTAGGGGCGAGTACCTTCTGAAGCTTGTCTGGGCATGGATTCTACGCGCGCCCAAAGGGAACTGATCAGTCAACTCGAGGCGAAGAATCGCGAAATTATGAGGGAAATTGCCAGATTAAGGTAAATAATTAAATATTTTAGATAAGCTTAATAATTAACTTTGCTTTTGGTTATTTAAGACGCCAACAAGAGTTGGAATCGAGCGGTGGTCACGGACCTGAAAATCCAGCTTTGATGAATGAGCTTCGGGCGTTACGAATGAGGAAGGACGAACTTGAAACGCATTTGACAACGTTGCAAGATTCCAGGAGGCAACTTATGATACAGCTGGAAGGGCTCATGAAAATGCTCAAGGTAGTTTGTTTGAAACGTGGTATTTAGTTTATGTGATTTACGTACAGTTCAAGTGATTTATAGAAGGAAATTTGTTTAAATTGAATTTCGTTTAAATGTGCACGTATATACATTCTTGCACTGAAAACCTCATCTTCAGTAACAACGTCAAAAAATCATTTTTATTTTTCTAATTTTAGTCTCAACGTTTTCTGGTCTGCACCTAATAGAAATACTTTGTGTCTTATCAATCTCCTACTCACGTTTCTTCAAATAAAGAGATGTAAGATGAGGACCAGTAAACGCGACATTTATGTATTTTATTTCATGTATATTTTTAATTTCTGTTTTTATTTTCTTTTGGTTTTGTTTTTCTTTTTGTTTGGAGTAGCTAAAGTCGACAATATTTATTCAGAACCATCAATCATCGCCACGTAGTACGCCCAATTCCTCTCCACGTAGTACTAAATCACCACCTTTACCACCTGGTGCTGTTCCCACGACACAGGCAGGTCCCAGAAGTGCCCCACAGACGCCGCTCGGTCACGCTCCTGGTCAACCAATGGGTTCGCAACAAACATCCGAAAGGAGTCACAGTATGGTTGCCGCCCTTGGGGGTGCCGGTAACACTAATTCATTGGACAGAAGCGAGAGGGGCGCTCACCATAACGCAGCAGAGACATCCCTAGCAGGTGTGGGCGGGGACGTAAGGAACGCCTTCGGCGGATCCTCCAATATCAATGTTGGTCAGTACAACGTTCATAAAGGTTAATACTCATGAATATATAATATTTGTATTTTTTTTTCAGGAGGAAGCAACGGGAACGGAACGCCCGGCTCTATGGGCCGTTCATTGAGAAATGATCTGTTAGTCGCTGCCGATTCGGTAACGAATGCTATGTCGACATTAGTAAGAGAACTTAATTCAGGTATGCATACGTAAAAAGATGTTTAAAAAAGACAAGCAACGAATAGCAAAAAACGAACAAAAAGAATTATAAACCAATCCAAAATAATTAAACCCACCATCGAAATCGATTGCTTAACGTGCAATAGCAGACAAAAATGTTCATGCAAAATATAATACAAACTAGATTGTTTTCGAAAGTGATTACTGTGTTATTACAAGTAGGCTAGTTTTAAGAGTAACTTAAATATTTTTGGGTTCAGTTAAGATGGACTGTTTATGAATTCTCTTCCTCTTTAATATATTAACGTCATGCTGTTAAACGTTTACTTAGTGTACTTGTACCATTTACGATTCCTTGTCGATTCCGAATATATATAAATATATATTTAAAAAAAAAAGATTTGGATAGTAATTTGAAAATAGTAACGAAGTTAAGGACGACTTGAGCTTTCAAATCTATGGTTATAGAAAACATACGATGAACTTTAGAATTTAGCTATTATGAGAAAATACTTACTATACATAAATTAGCTTTAGTTTTACATATATATATTTTTTTATATTTATTTTGAGTTCGCTTTATTACTTAACGATTTGAACGGAGACAACTGAAATCAAATGTGAAGCTCTCTCCTTTTATCGTTGAATGTGAATGGATACTACTTAAATCTATTTTATTTTGTTATTTATTTTTATTCTATTTTTTTTCGGTATGGCATGTCTATTTGCCATATAAACTACAGATAAGCATGGATTTTTACATTTATATACACCTTATATACAGTTTCATTTGTTTTATTATACATTAATTATTGATTAAAACACTTGTATACTTATTCCTAACACATGTAACTTTATCAGTTTTAAACTTTAATGTTGTTATTATTTTGTTGACCTTTTTATTTTTATTATATTATATACAATATATTTTTTTATGTAACAACGACAATTTATATTTTTTTATTTTGTAAATATTTTGTAGTTTTTTTTGTTACTTGTTAAGAAATTTTAAGAAACGCACACAATACAGACAAATATATAACAGTTTTATTTATTTTTTTTATACAAAAATATCCGTTTTATTTTTTAAAATACACAATACACACTTATTGAGTTTCTAAAACTTAGAATTAACAATTTTTTTAACTCAAATATGCTTTTAAATAATACATTAATTATTGTTAATGTATCCGTTTGTATATTTTTGACGTTTGTAACAATTAGGCTATTTGAGTTAAATTCAATTGAATGGAATGTTGAAACACTTTGCTTTAGTGACTCAACTTTTATATTTATTTATCTACATAAATATATCTTACCTTCTTTATGTACAGTTTATATATATCAATAATAGTTAAATTTACGAAGCATATTTAATTTTTCCTCTTTTTTTTTGTTTTGGGTCATGTTGATGGTGAATAGAAGTGCGGACTCACTGTACACTTCGTTTTATTTTGATTTTATTATTTTTTGATATGCCAATTATGTAGTGTATGTATGTGGAATGCTGCCTGTTGAATGATTGTTCTTACAGAACCTTCCACTTTACCCGGATCTTCGTCAATTCGAAAACCGCTCGGTGAGTAACTTTACAAGCAGAAAATGATCAAAAGAAAAAGAAAGAAAAGAGATGTTGTAGTTATTCTTTTTTCCTTGTTTTTCTTTCTCTCAAATGTTTAATCAATGTTTTGTTGACGGGATGTCCTTTATTTCTGTTTAAAATCCCACGATATGCTATTGTAAATTAACTCTGTTTTGCTTGTAGATCCGATACTTACGTTACAATTGTTTTTGTTTAGGTAGTTATTTTTCTCTCTATTTTTGGATTCGTTTGCATTCGCGCTTTCCAACACTGTTTTTGTTTATGCTTATATAGTCTTATATAATTTTCGTTTGACAGCTTTTATACTGTATCTAACTTGTTTCTTTATATATATTTTTTTCTTTTGTTATTGAACTTATACGAAGTTTGTATTGATTTTTTTTATATAGATTTTACAGTGGTGGAAAGTGGATATTGACAAATTATACTAATAAAAAACATGATGTACACAAGCTATTAGCAAATCTTACAGTGGGAAAATGTCTGGTATTTTTTGTCTTAGATTTTGAAGATGATGGAGAGGATGAGTCCGATGGTGGATGGCAGCAGGAGCTGCAGAGGCGTTACGCGCAAGAGGCCAACTTCATGGCCGAGCTGCGGGCTCGACAGGCGACAAGTCCGCCGGAAGGAAACTCTGCCCAAAATAATCAAAACTTCCATAATTATCCAAACCAGCAGCCTTACCATCCTCCGAACTACCCTCAGCCGTATGTAAATCACCAGGAGTTCAGTAGGCCAAATTTCACCCTTCAGCAGGGTCCCATGTACCCCAATCAGCATAACTATTCGAATCAAGGACCTTTCGCTTCTCAGGTAAATTCTTTTACTTGAATTATATGGAAAGAATTGATGTAGATTTATCGAAAATGCTATTTAATGTTTATTTTATGATTACATCGGAAAGGGTCTTCTATTACGTAGTTATTTGGAAATAACTACTGTTACGTAATGATCATTAAAAATCAAAATATGGCGATTTATTCACTAAAATTATTTTCAATTTTTTCTACAAATTAGTTGTTCGAATATAACATTTTTTAGTCGAGTAACATGACCAGATTTGAATCCAGTTTCAAGTCCGAACATCAAACTATTCAAAGTTGAAGAGTCCATAAGATCTTGATAATTTTTAGTATATGCTTGAATTCTTCACAAAATATGTATCTAAATCTTAGTGAAATTATATAAATGTAAATGAATGTAATAACGCAAGTTTTTATTTATACATTACTTAAAAGTTTATGTTTTAAAAAATGTCTTTTTTTTTATAAATTATAGCCACAGTTCAATGACAGACGTAACTCGAAGGAGTTTAGTAATACCAACGAAATCCAAGAAGGTCAGGAGCAACGAGTGGACATGCCCATGTCCAAAGAGACTCTGGAATGGGAGGAGGCTCTTAAAAACTGGGTGAATCGTTAGAAACGTTTTGAACTTCACACAGAGTCAATAATATAAAAGATATCACACTTTTTAATTTAATTATGGAGAGCGCTTTTGCCATCATGTATAGTTCCTTATTGAGGACAATTCTCTTTTCACAATATGAAGACGAATTTCTCGTTTATTTGCATAACAATCCAAAACGCGTCGTAGAAAAAACATGAATGTAATGCATATATTCTGGCAGAAAGTTGGAGGCATTTTGGAACCAATTGTTACATGTTGTATTGTTAATGGATCGGGTCTTGTATTTATGTAAATTGTGCATAATCATTGGTTGTCTTGCGTAAACGTTACTCTTTGCACATACTTCAATTTGTTTTCTCCTTCTCATTAAACTTAAAAAGAAAATAATAATAGCAGGACCAAAAGAAGAAAAGAATATCATGGAACATAATATGAAAATGACCCCTTTTAGCACTAATTTTTTTTAAATTATATACCTTTCACACTAAAAAAAATCATTTTGTCTAAGACTTTCACGTGAATTATGGTAGTCTATAAGGTATATATAAATAGTTTAAAATAAGTGAAACAAAAAAAACAATACTAATTTATTTAACAATGATCTAGTCAAGCCAATGCATATCCATGTGTAAAAAAACAAAACCAGTAAAACCGAAAAACTTTTATTTTGAATCATTTTCATCCATATCAACGATATAACCATTTCCGGATATCCAGTTTAGATGCATCAGATAGATTCACGACGATGAGTGATTTTAAAACTGGCTATAAATATAATGGTTATGTTAAAATAAGGAATCGTACGAAAGACTTATTAAAGATAATTCTAGAGAAATAATGGGACATGATTAATGCCTTCAAACAATTTATACCATTTATAAGACATTATCAATTTTTATAAATATACATATAAACTATATTTAAATAACGTAATTCCATATATATCCGATGTAAATATATTTGTTTTATACATATATTGTTGTTAAACGCAGATAATTGGTTACGTTTTAGTTTCTTTTTTCTTTCGAATTATGCACCATCTCGTAAATGTAAATTGAATGTAGAATTTATAGAATAATGTCTCCCTTCATATGTTTGATATTTTGTGTTCCATTTTTATTATTGTCATTAAAAAAAGAGTATGATGCATGCAGTAAATGCTAAAAAAAATGTATTAGTAGAAAGTTGTTAAAGTTTACATACATGTTATCATGTAGTTATCAAATAAATATTAACAATACAAAAGATTTTTTTTATTATTGTATTGCCAGATTTGTGGCTATTACGGTTTGTCTATAATTATAAGTATAGCCACTGCCACTATAATGATTAAATTATAGAATAGATGATTTAAGTTTAAAGAACACTGGTGTGTTTGAACAGTATAGCAGCGGTTTCCAACCGGGGAGTCGCGGACTATTGCCAGGGGAGGCGCCAATTTTTTTTAATAAATTAATTGTTATTCCATAATATCTTGTAATAAATAAAACGTGTCTATATTATTTAATCTATTAAAACAATAAAGGTAAGGGAGGCGCAAAATTTTTTTTTTGGGGCAGGCTGGGCAGGCGTAGTAGCATAAAGGTTGGAATGGGTTGGAAACCGCTGGTCTATAGACAACTTCAGGCTGCGCTTTTTAACCTAAAAATTGCCGTATGGTTGTGATAGGCTCTGACGTTTAACGTTTTATTATTGCATCAGCATATTGTAAGTAAAGATGGTTTTGGATTTGGATTTGTTCCGTACCGATAAAGGTGGAAATCCGGATAAAATCCGTGAAAATCAGACGAAGCGTTTCAAAGATGTTGGTCTGGTCAATACCGTTATAGACAAGGATGCTCTCTGGAGGCAGCTCAGACACAAAGCAGATCAGTGGAACAAGCTGAAGAATGTGTGCAGCAAAGAAATTGGTGACAAGATGAAGAAGAAGGAACCTCAGGGAGATGTAAATGAAGCTGTACCAGAGTCTGTTGTTTCCCAATTAGAAAATTTAACTGGTGATCTCATGAAGCCTCTGACTGTTAACCAAATAAAGAAAGTAAGGGAATATTAACTTAAATATAATTATTATTTTACAATATATCCTTATTAGGTTCGTGTTTTAATTGATGAAGCAGTTATTAAAAATGATAATGACTTACTGCAAACTGAAAAGGAGAGGAATGGAGCACTCCGGGAGGTTAGCAATCATCTGCATGAGTCTGTCCCAGTCAGCAATGATGAGGATGAGAACAAGGTTGAAAGAACTTTTGGTGATTGTGAAATGAGAAAGAAATATTCACATGTTGATCTTATCCACATGATTGATGGTAATTGATTTTTAGGAAATTTTATTTCTATTATTATTATTAAATTTATAGGCATGGATGGTGAAAGAGGTGCTGTTGTATCTGGTGGAAGAGGTTACTATTTGACTGGTCCTGCAGTGTTCTTGGAATATGCAATTATCCAATTGGCTCTTAGAACTTTGCACAAAAAGAGTTACAAGCCATTATACACTCCATTCTTTATGAGGAAAGAGGTGATACTATTTTTTTAAAATTTTGAATTATTATATTTATAGCATAATGTTTGTAGATTATGCAAGAGGTAGCGCAATTATCACAATTCGACGAGGAATTATATAAAGTTGTCGGAAAAGGCAGTGAAAAGGCCGATGATAAGGATGTCGAAGAGAAATATTTGATCGCAACATCCGAGCAACCGATTGCCGCTTTCCATCGCGATGAATGGATTCCGGAAAATACGTTGCCGATTCGTTATGCGGGTATTTCAACTTGTTTTAGGCAAGAAGTCGGATCTCACGGACGCGATACTCGTGGTATATTCAGGGTGCATCAATTCGAAAAAGTGGAACAGTTCTGTTTAACATCTCCGTTCGACAACAAGTCTTGGGAAATGATGGACGAGATGATCGGTAACGCCGAGAACTTTTACAAGGCCCTCGAAATTCCATACAGGATCGTCAATATTGTGTCTGGAGCTTTGAACCATGCCGCTTCCAAGAAACTGGATCTCGAGGCTTGGTTCCCGGGATCCGCAGCGTTCAGGGAACTGGTGTCCTGCAGTAACTGCTTGGAATATCAAGCGAGACGTCTTATGGTTAGATACGGACAGACGAAGAAGATGAACGAAGCCACAAATTACGTTCACATGTTGAATGCGACGATGTGCGCCGCAACTCGCGTAATTTGCGCAATTCTTGAAGTTCACCAAACGGAAGAAGGCGTTAAGGTTCCTGCCGCTTTGAAGGAATTCCTGCCGGAGGAATACCAAAATATTATTCCGTTTGTTAAGCCTGCCCCTATTGATGTCGAAGCTAATTCTAAGAAGAGCAAGAAGCAAAAAGAGGGTATGAAGAAGGCCAGCGCCGGCGGAGAATAATTTAGTTTCAAATTAGTTTGATCATTGATGGAACGCATTTATTTATACTTTTTATCGGTTCATTCCATGAATCCACATTTCTTTATACAAGCGTAATGCAGAATAATAATAAAGTTTACACCGCCTATTGTCGAAGTTCAAATTTTATTTTATTTTACATTATAATTATGTTTATTTATTTTCTAAACTTTAAAAAAAAATTAATAATTGAACTCATAGTTTACATTTATTGAAAAATAAATTCATTCAACTCAAATAAATTATAATCATCCTCTTGATACATATTCTTAAATTCTACCCTTCAATAATTTTCGTAACAATCAAAATATAATTTAATAACAATAAAAATATATTTATTATTTTAGTACATAAACAAAATAAAATATAATTCATTCTCAATAAAATACAGTCGATTATGCTTAAACTAGTACATTTTGTCTCGATTAAGCGGCTGGCCCATTTATCGGATTTCGGGCTTAGTGTTTTTTTAATATTTTATTTAATAAATTTCACAAAATAAAACAAAGTGTATACGTACCAAATAACAGAAAGTGATATAAATTTTGTATCAAAAATCTATTTTGGCCAATAATAAAACTTACTTGGCAGACATCTCCATTCTAAACCAACTAAATTAATTTATGCAAAGAAATAAACATGTTTTCCATGCGAGATAAAATAGAGGCGATGAAAATGAAACTTTGTAATTGAATTCGAAGAATAGAATCAAATGTTTTAGAAATGTTTCCAAATTATTCTCAAATGATTGGAGATAATTGGGAATTTGATAAATAACATAACTAATATTTAATTAGTGTACAAACAGTTGCACCTAAAGCTTTTGCCTAAAGTCTAAAATTATTTGTTATTGTCAGAATTTGCAGGTAATTTGGGTATTCATATTGGCAGTTAAAACCGGTTAACCGTTTACCGGTAATGAAATTCCAAGTACCGATTTACTAGGATACGAGACGCTATAGGGGCAGTCACAATTATAATCGACAACTAATAAACTTAGATTAGTTATTGATGGTTGGATATGAAAGAAAAATCTGCACTGAATTGAGTTTTCAATGCAATTTTATTATCTGTATGGGTAAATCGCTTCTATTTATTAATAATTTCGAAAGAAAAACAGTAGAAAAGATATTTCGACATATTTTATTCGATTATAATACATATACAAATGAAATTTGCATGATAGACAAACAATTTGCTTTGCAACTGAAAATACATTTACATCAATTGTATTATGTTTATTGTTGATATATTTGTAAGATAATATTAATAATGATAATTGAATCATATTTAACCAACAAATAATAAAAAAAAAAATACACATATCGAATCGAATTGGAAAATACGTAGGAACATGAAACAATGCATTATTCAATTCTTGTTTTACAAATATAATTTGTACCATATAATATATAATTTACATACACTATAATATACAATATTTAACAATAATATCAGTCAAAGAAAAGATAAAAGGATTTGTTTGCTAAATCGTATTAATTTTTATAATGCGTCATCGATCATCTGGTTTTTATGCGTATTTTTATATGTATAATATCTATCGAGAATTTGGCAAATAAGATCATATTTATTTGTAATTATCGTATATAATATGTACATCGACAAATACAAAAATCATCTTTTGACGCTCAAATTTGGACGTTGAACTGTTACATATTTTTTACAAGCATTCCGTCCACAACGAAATACGCCTTTCTGCCGAAAGAAAACAATCAGCAGACAACGGCTATTTCGAAAAAACATGTTGTTCATAATTTATATACACGTATAAATATTTGACTTATCACTCCTATACACTTACAATCCTAAAGTTTTCTTATGATATTTTTTTTCTGTGTACTTGTGTTTTCATTCACTTTTTTTTTTCATTATTTAAAGCTATGCAGCAATTCAACACTGGATTGAGACCAATGGGTCTAAGACAAAGTTTCTTCTTACAAAATGCAATTGTAATTGAATAGTGTAATCGAGTTAATTTATTCTTTGTCTTAGGTTCAGTGACCATCCTGTGCGGTACAACATGAAAACTAAGAGTTTTTTTTCCATTCATTTCATAACGACAATATTAATTTAAGATTAGCAAACGCTGATAAATAAAACTATATTGCGCGCGGCCCCAGCGTTTTCCTTCATTTTAGAGTTGCGATTCCAGTAAATCACACATCAAAAGTATAGAATGCATCGAGAAACGTAATATTTGTAGTAATTCGAATTGTTTGTAATAATTCGCATGGGAAAGCGCTATACACATACATTATTTAGTTCATAAACATAGTTTATACATTGATATCGCTTAAAGCGTACTTCATTTTTTATTTACTTTCGATGAGGAATTAAAAAAATAAATTCACAACACAATGCAAACGCAATTAAAAGGCGATGGAAAACATCAATTAAGCTTTGATATGAAATTGGATAGACGACAACGACGACGAATAGAATAACACTTGATGGCGGGATTTTTGATTTTTTTTTGATGTTGTAATCTTTGAAGCATGGTCCCTAGTTTATAAGATATACATGTATTTATTATATACGACTTTCCTCTCCTCAGAATTGTTCTCATCTCAAGCTACGAAACGCACATTTCGCGTCGGAAAACGTCGTTTAATTATTTTAATACTGAATGAACATGTAAAAATTAAAATGAAGAATACAACGACAATGACTTTAAATACTTATTGTCACGAATACACAACGAAACAATAATGACTAGATGTGTATATGTAAAAGAATGGGTACACTACATCTCTGATATATATATTTTATATTCTCTCGAAGACGTCACAACGCACGTTTTTGGCAGGTTTCATTGTTGAGAAGCGCCTATCTTCTGAAGAACCGGAAAAGGCCTTTACCTTTTTCCGGTGGCGGCGCCATCAACATTGGTACTTGATTTTTATGTGTGATACGTATCTGGAAAGATCAAAGGGTTGTAGGTGAATTTGTGTGAGAGGCACTTTCGAATATCTTACTGTTGTCGGAGGTTGCATCCACGGTTCTCCGTCGATTTGCATGGGGAAGGTCTTCTTAGTCTTGATGGTAATGGAAGAACATTGAGCAAGACGTCGACCGCTCGCCGTTAATCCAGTTCGCACACGACCCATGTGCAAGCAGTTTTCCAACCCAATAACTTCAATTAATCCATCGCCAATATCTAAAACACATTTCAATTCATGATATATTCGGGATTAAAATACATCATCGTCATTATACAAAACACGTCATTATCATTATAGACAATCATTTACCTTGCAAAGCAACGCTAAGATCCACTGAATTAAAGCTGTTAGTGCTCATCTCCTTCTGGCGCTTCTTCTTCGTGCTCTTTTTCCTCCTAGATCCGGACAGATGTTCGCCCCAAAGGTTCGATCCTCCATGTGTGTATGGAATATTCAGTAAAGCTATTCCTTGCAGCGGAGGACCGTTGGCCAAGTCCAAGGAAACATCGTCGCACTGTGATGTTTTGCAATATAGATCAAACTTCCCATGCACATTTCTATATTACTTACGATGATTTCCAAGTCTTCGTGTAGGTTTTTGCAGCTTGCCGCGAACTGCTCGGAAGTGGCGTATTCAAAATACCACAGTTTATTTTTCATCCTGCTGTTAAATTTGTCCGGATTCCTTTCACGCTCCAAGTGGAATTTCACGCAGATAGCAGCGTCCTAAGGCAAATAACCCATTAAATAGTTCATACTTGTGTATGTCTTCCTTTTATTCATTATATTCTAGAAATAAGGAACTGACTTCAATCATTTCAGCCATAAATCACATAAAGTAATCATAAATAAAACTTAATAATTAGTATTAGATAAACATAAAGAATATTTATTTAAATATATTTTTTTAATAACATTTGTTGGCGGTACAATTATTAATTTATGAAACATTGTCATATCTCGGTTAACGTTACCTTTGAATACATTGAACTAGGTAGTTAAAACTTGTTGTAAAAACTACAACATTAAGAAACTCAATTGAAAATATTGTTAGTTTATGAAAAATATTACTATCAAATGCTTTAATGTAGTTTGGCCTAAAATAGTTCAGTTGTATAAGAACAAAATACAACCAAGAAATTAAAAATGAAGTAGAATTAGAAAACTTGCCATCTACAAAAACAAAGATAATGAAGACAAAAATAAAGAAATTTCTCATTTACGAATTAATGAAGTGTTGTTGTTAAGCAATTAGTTTTAATTGCAATAACTCAGTACAATTGTTAAATGCAAAAAATTTTCATTTTCTTTACGAAGGATATTCTGACTATATTATTCTTTACCTCTAAAAACATTTTTTCGAAATACTTTCTTGAAACGTATCCTTTGCGATAATCGAGAAATGACTGTAATTAATTTCATATTGTTTTTGAAATCCAGTACTAACGATAAAATTACATTAAAATTGAAATGAAAAACATATTTTACAAAGAATAAAAGTTCGGAATGTCATTAAATACTGTAGAAGACAATGTGAACACTTTTTTCTCTAAAGAAAAATTTAAATCAATAGAGAACAAAGATTGTATGTGAAAGAAAATGTAGTTATAAAATGCAACGATTTCGGATCGTTTTATGTTCGGTGATTATTCGAATTTGACTGATCGTTAAACGCTCACGATTTTACGATGAATCGATATGGAAGCGCTTTGCGTTTTTAATGTCGGGTAGAAAAAGGAAGGAAGGAAAATGACCACTTCGGAAATACATTTATGCTTTTTTTTTTTCATTCGTGAACGATAAGAAAATCGTTCCTGGACGCTTTCTCGCTTTACGATCTTCGCCACTTTACGAGATTTGAATAATGGCTTTCCGATATCACCGTAAAAAAACATTTTTTTTTTAAATAACATTGAACACGGACGAAATATATATATTCGTTTAATTATCAACAACATTAAAATCTGATTTCGTTTAAATTTTATACTATGGAAAGAAAAATTATATCTATCATTCAATTAAAAAAATCCAAATTTATTACAAATCTTATCTAATTACAATAATTGATGCTAATTGAAATGAGTAGTTAATAGTATTTTTTTTCTAATTGTAATGGTATTACTTATTGTTAGGAATGAATAATTTTTATACATGCTAACTGAAATGAAATCAGAATGTATCATTTAGTGTTGGATTTAATAATATATTATTTACGATTTGTAAAGAATTCATTTTTCTCTAAATTTATATATGTTATTTAATTTTACTGTTTCATAACATGTCATATTTTTCGTAAATAAGAAAGTACAAGGAAATGGAATTTAACATTTGAAATGTTTTTCTGTCATTCCTATATATACAGTTTTTAAATCTGCGTTCTGAGTGCTGAGTGAAGATGACTTTTCCAGGAAAGCATTGGGAAATGCCACAATACGCAATATATCTTATTTCTTCGGTATCTCCTGTAATTCCTTATTAATAAATAAAAATTGTCTTTCAGTCATATGTCTTCCAATAATTGAACACAATTGTATTTTGATTGCAAACTTTATATAAAACTTCTTTTAAAATTTCCTTTATTAATTGTCGTATATTAATCATATGAATAAATACTATAATCAATGCATAATAAATCCTTTAATTATATATGATTTAGTTATAGAGCACATGATTTGTAGCAGTCAATGTTGAAAAAACACATTTTTAACATTACTACGATTTCGTAAAATTTGAGAACCACAAACTAATTTGTACTAATTCAATAGAGTTGTAGGTATTCTATATCAGCGGTCAATCGGTATTCTAGATCAGCAACAACCGGTGGGACGCGGGATTACAAATATTGCGTTTAGTGGTCCGTGAGGTCAAACCGCTGGTCTAAACTGATTGCAATTTACAAGGGTCGTTTTTTATGCATTATGATAGTTAAGATATAATATACTCACCACACCGATAGAAAAGTAGTTGTTGATTATGTTGTAGGGGATGCGAGTATCGGCCTGGTTCATCTCGGGTTCCGGTGGTGAGGTGTCCGTGAGTTCGATGAGCCATCTATCCAAAAGAACCGAAGAAGCTCTCGCGATCTTGTGGAGCAGCTTGTGCACAGACTCTCCTTCGTAACCTCCACCCCAACGAAGACATCTGGCTAAATCGTTGCCAGTTCCGAGCGGAATAACTCCGACGGCCGGCTGGCATTCCAAATCCACTTTATCTGCAATTTTAAAAGAAACCCAATTAATCGGAATGTTCGTGAGCGGATATCCTTCCATCAAATATTCATAGAGCGTCTCTAACATATAGGAAAGTAATCCAACATGGGTTATTTACCTATATTATTTACTTTTAGGATCTTCAAGAAAGTTTCTTCCCTGACGAAGATATTTACTATGCAACGAATCAATAATATCTTCCCTCAACCCTTGCCCTTAATTCATAATTAATTAGTATTTGCATATTAGCTACAAATATAAATAACTAATTTTATCCTTAAGTATAAATTAATTATGTTTGTTAGCCCTGCGTCTAATAGTAAATATTTAAAAAAATTTATAGTTTTATTTCTGCCATTCAAATAGGTGTAAACAAAAAATTACTTTTCTAATCAAAATCCTAAACCAAGTTAGATTATGTAATTGTAACATGAGTTTCCCATATTACATGACAAGTACTTAGACGCGGTGTATGTATATGAATACAATAAATATATATGTAGATTACCCATCGTCTCGAGAACCCATCCAACTGTGCCGTCGCCTCCGCAGCAAATGACCTTGAAATTGGGCACGTCCTTGAACATGCTCAGACCCTGCAGCGGTCCTCCGGTAGCCAGATTGTGCACTTGCCGCGGGTTGAGAATGTATTGGAACTTCCTGAGCATCCTTCCGCCCTGTCGACCTCCGGATTTCGGGTTGATGAACACCAGAAGCGGACACGAATTCGGTATCGGAGATAACTGGAAAGACATCGCAGGTTGCTTGGACGAGGCATTGCCCTGCGAATTGGATAAATAACATCATTATACATTTTCCTCCCCCAATCCTCAATTTACTCACATTGTCATGACCATACTTGGATCCTCGTTTCTGTATGGACTTTTGCCTGTCCAAAACTACAGGACAGATTGCAGTTGGCGGTAGAATGTGGACAGCATGCTCTCCCATTCCGCATTCGGCTCTCACCGATGAGACGCATTTGTTGTGCAGCTGGAAAAGAAAGTTTTGAAGGTGGTTGGGGCAGACGAAATTAAGGTTCATCAATATAAATGGTCCTGAATGTTATGCATGCACGCAGCAGCAGGGTGTTAGGTGTGAAGGGAAAAGAAAGAAAAAGAAATAGAAGGAGGATGAAAAGGGCTTACGGTTATTTGGCACCAACGACAGTGTAATCCCGTGATGCCGGCCTTAACGGGCTTCCGACATCGAGCGCATTTTCCATGACAGTTCCCTTCGACCCAGTGATGTTGCAGAGTCTGCTGGGACTTTTTGCTCTTCACATATGTCGCAATGCAGCTGGCCGGCGCCCTTTGCACACACCGTTCGTGCACTGTATACTTGCAGACTTCAACAAACCGGAAACATTAATGTAATTATTTGTACAAACCTTTGTAAATTAAGTAATTTCTAATTTAATTATAATTAATAGTTGCTCTTAATTTGCATTCGTTTGTAACTAATATAAAACAACTCTTTAGTAAACATTATAATACTATTTATAAAATTAAATTTATATAAACCTATATGATTCAGAAAATAGTATAGTTGTAACAAATTTAAAAAAATTCAGCATTCATTTATTATATTAAATTCGACTTCCTCAATCATATTGATTTTTTCCGTACAGGAAATATTTTTTAGATAAATCGGTAGGAATGAGATTTGTGCGCTATAAATATAGAATTTCCTACATGTTAGATACGTTTGGGCTTTAATAAAAAAAAGGTCGATTGGATTCGTATTTCTGTATCAGCTGAAAAGTTTTTCCTATTAGAAAACCAACATACTTCAGTTCATAAATAAGTGAATCGGCTACACGGACTATCAGAAATTCCCTTCCGGATCACACGACGCTCATTCGAGTGGGTCGCAAAGAGAATCGGTAAAGCAAGGAATGATATGAAACTTACATGTGCAGCATAATCCCTTTTTGCCCAAACCCACGAGCATGTTCAGGCAAAGGTTGCAATACGCCGGTCGGCTGAAGTGCTTCAATCGCCACAGGTGATTACCATCCTCCTTGACGTTAGTATCCAATCCGAGTAGAACGAGAAGAGGGATCGTTGTCAGACCTCCGCGTTTCCATTCTTCGAGTGAAACGGTGCCATCGGCGTCGTAGTCGATTTCTACCATCATGTCTTGCAAGATCTGAAAGTGCGCGGTGTAAATGTAATTTGCTTTTACTAGTTTAAGCAAAATCTAGACTAATTTAGTCTCACTTGATGTACAGTATTAGCGTATGCGGGATATGAATGAAAAGTTATTAGTCTCTGAATTATAATTACTAAACAAATAAAAGAATGTTGGGCGGAAAGACCTCGGTCGTTAGCTCTTTGGCCAGCCTATTAATATATATTTTTTTATTGTATGTTAAAATTTATGTATGTATAATTTGTACTTTTTTTTTCTTCTTATGTATTGATGTTTGGCCAATAAATTATTATTATTATTAAAATAATGTCTGAAATAATTTAAAATCTTGAATAAAATTTGCACTCATATGATAAAATTAATATTCGTATACAAAATTTAAATGATATCTTAAATTGAATATATTAAAAAAACAACAAAAGAAACGATAATAATAAATATCACTTATATAATAACCATCCCCTTTTTAGCATTCTAGAATAATTAATAATTGTGTATATTTTACTTGAAAATATTCTAAATTGTGTTTGATTATGATGTTTTGTATTTTAGTTTCAGGTAGTTTCATTGGAATACACAAAACAATATAAAAATATTATACAATACTGTTAAACATGTTTAAACTTAATTTAACAATGGTCATTTGAATTTTGTTATATTTGATTTAATGTAAAATTTACATTATATGAAAAGAACGCAGTAATCATTTAATATTCAGTTTATTAACTGTATGATATTGGCATATGGTTGTTGTATACATCACCTATAATATATTTGTGCCTTTCCAATAATACGAGTGTCAGATTTAGCTTTTCCATCTCTAAAGTTTTTGAATCAATGTAAATTGTCGAGTCTTCAATAGTAAACTATGAGATCGATGTATTGCTATTCGGAGTATTGATTATTGTAAAATGTATTGTTTTGTATAATTAAATAAATATATAAGTAGTAGTATGGTTTGCAAAAGTTGTAGTTTAAATTAGTTGGACTTACAGGTTTCAGTTCAGAGACGTCCCATCCCAAATATTCAGCGACGGTCATCATTTGGTTAACGATGCTATCCATTTCGTTTGTGTCCAGCACTCCGTTGCCGTCGGTGTCGTATAAACGGAACATAACTGAAACGAGATGAAAAATAGAGGGATGCACGATGATGAACCGCATTCGTTTCGCATACATTCCAATTTATCCTCCGGCCGTCCGGCTTCGAGCAGCGACAGATAACAAACGATATCTTTGAGAGAAACTTTGACTGCGTGAACATCGATGGTGCTGGCTTTCCTCACAATGTGGCGTACTTCTGAAAGCAAACAAAACGCGTTTTCAGCGAACTCCGATTTGGTACGGCCTCCTCCACTAAAACCTTCAAGTTTTCCATTGTTCACCAGCAGCGAATTGTTCGACTTCCTCGATGAGTTTCGCGAAATCTGGCTGTGCGAAGGCGATGAATCCGTGCTCTTTTTTCCCAGAACCTCGTGACAGGAGTATGAGGTGTGCGTGATTGTCAGCATCGGATGCACGGTACCTGTTGAAGGAAAAACAAAATGGTTTAGTTCTGTTGACGTGAGAATGTTTCTTCGTTTTTGCAACCTGTTTTGGCTCTCGTCGATGTATCGCTGTCTGATCGATGGTGGCCAAGGAGCTTTTCGCTGAAACCGTGAAACTTTTCAGCCAACATTTCGCTGTACGAAGCCACTTTATCTGTGCTCACACAGATGTTCCTCGTATCCACCGGTTCGCAGCACGAGTTCACATTAGGCGTTGAGCCTAGAAACGAGAAAACTTAAATTTCATTTGTCAGATAGTGCAATACTTATATAAGTAGCAATAAAAGAGTCGTATGCAAAGTTTTGTAAATAATATGAGAATTAATGATTTAGACAATACTAACATTACTAATATATTTATATATAGGTAAATCACATTATTTTAATAAACTATTATAAAATTTGATATATGTCAGAAAATATGTCAGAAAATAAATTTATATGAATATTAATAACAATTTAATTAAATCGTAATGGTAAATGTTGTGTTTAAAATGCTTAAGAGTATTTGTTATATTGCTCTTATCAAGCACATAGATACAACATTTGAATCCATTATATTTGTGTATCTCGTACTTAACTAATATTATGTCTCAACAATATGAAAATCTTCAAGTATTTCTTTTGCACTTTGACTGGAATCCAAACATTTGGGTACCATATGTCTATTCAGTTTACTTTTATTTAATTATTCTTTACTAATAAATCCAAACTCTGTCCTAATAACCAATTTATTGGGATGGCTCGGATTTTGTCACACTCGGTCTTAGCATATTCTGTTGTTAGTCAACGTTTTCAAAGCACCTAACATATGTTTTCTTGTTGTTTGGACTGCTACCTTTAATTTAGTAAAAAATTGGATCTATTAGTTATCTCAATTTAAAAATGGGAGAACAAAACGCGTATTTCAAACATATTATATTGTATCATACCCCAAGAGGCAAGAACACATCTCAAGTATACAAGAAGTTATATGCAGTATATAGGAATGAAGCCTTGAAGGAAAGGCAGTTCAATTGTTTTGAAATTTTCAAACTGAACTATAATGAATCGAAGCACCATGGGTATTGTGGTATATTTAGAACTATTTCTGTCTGGAAATATCTTTTCGAGCCATTTTTAGCAAAATTTTCGATTTATTTAATTTTGTATTGTCCTAATGGAACAAATGATGTAATTTTTGTATAGTACTATTTTTTATTCAACTGACTAACTTAGTTCTTATAGAAATAGTCCTTTTAATACTATTTTTTTGCAGAAGATACTCTAATAACATTTTTATTTATATTTTTGTCATCTATGATATAATTTCTAAAAACTTTCGGTTTTAAACATGCATTCAATTAATAAAACCAATTTTCTTAATATAAATCTTTAATAATTGTTAATGACCAATAAAAGAATAATGGGACAAACCAAATTAGATATTTTCATAATTTATTGTTGCATTTCGCAAACAAAATATTTGCAAACATAAATTGCGCCCCTCGACTGGGACGGCCTGGGCTGCTTTGGAAAATAAAACTTTAAAATTGATGTGTAAAACACCTGAACGATAAATCCGAGCGGTAAGTAGAGGGAGCCGGATTTGGATTACATCGTAAAAACGGGCTTTACTTGCAATTCCACCCCGCATTAAATTTAATGCGGCAGTACTCAATTAGCCACCCCACGTTCACCTTTAAACTCTTCATTTCCTTCCCAATCAAAGTCGTCGCATCTTTTCCCCCATCCATGCTTATTTTCATTCTCATCCTTCGTATCATACCCTCCCCTCATCACCTACTTTTTTGCATCATCCGATCCTTTTAATATATTTATAAACAAATTGCAAAAGAAAGAATTAAGGCAATACAAAATATATCTTTCCGCCACTTGAGAATACGTTCGTACACAAACTCTGAATAATTAAAGAATTGTACGTACGTCTTCAATGAGAAATACAAATTTAAAAGTTTGCAATTGCTGAGTAATTAAAAAAAACTGTAGCTTTTTATTATTAGATTTATTAACTGTAAAACATTTTGTTACTATGTAATTTATATCAAAGTTTCTTTTGTAGAAATAAAATATTTTATGACTGATATATTAAGAGTCTGTTATTAAATAAAAAGATGTTTAATATTTAGGATTTACTTCAATATAAAATCGAAGCAACTTGATCTATAGAATATAATTTATTATTATGAATCTGCAGACTTATTCACGAAAACAATTTCAGAGATTTAACTTCGATTTTATATAAAACAGTACATTTCAATTGGAAACTTTAGAGATTGGAATTCAGAGCAGCTTGACAATTTAATGATTGAAAAATTCAATTATATCAAACTACATTGTATATATATACAACATTCCTACAAAGAATAATTACCATAAGAATTGACTTTTTAATTACTAAAGTTTAAATAATTTTACAGTTTAATAAAGTGAATTTTGAATAATTCACTTTATTAAACTGTAAAATTATTTTTTTTTCTATGTGGTCAAATATACTTGTAAGTATGTTTTTTACATACATATTGCCACTGTAGAAGAAAAGTCTATTTCTATCTCGACGCTGGTGGATTTCACTATGGTTTTTAAAAACCGTTTTTTTTTCAAGAAATATATAATTCAATAATTTGATCAAATATAAATATTTAGACACAAAATTGTATAAAATGAGAAACAGCGTAGACGGGTTCAAGAATTGCGGACTCAAAGGATATAACTTGTAAAAATACTTTGTTCCATTTTTTTTGTGAAAAAATTCAAAATCCGCATTAAACCGGTTTTGTAGAAACCCTTGCATCAACAATTTGGTTTTGAGAACATTAGACTCAAATTAAACATAATTTACTTTATATATTTTATTCGGGCGACAAATAGCCGAATAGCATTATGAAGTTAACCTACAACACGACAGCCAAACAACAAATTAAAATCATCATAATAGTAACTATCCACCGGGAAAGATTATCCATTTCATGTGAACCGCGATCTTAAATTTACTCATTGATGAACAGATTGTGAATAAAATTATACGACATGAAAAAAAAATATAAATTTTATTCGCACGTTAAGGGATTAACTATAATATAATAAAAAAAAATATATACAGTAAGTTTTGCGCTTACGATGCGTGACAGGCGTTAAACTAAACATATGGTAAAGAACTTTTTTAGGTTTCGAGTAGATTGCGTTATATAGAATCAGCGTTAAGCGAGAAAACGCTAAATGATGTATTACTTTATGATAATGAAATGTATATAAGTATAATTTGTAGGAAATTAAAATATTCATTTTCTAATTGCTAATTAGAGAAATGTAATACAGTCTTTTCATAATTATGCACTTATAAATTCTTTGAAGTTCTGCAATAAATAATAAGTATTTGCAGTAAATTACGGCGTTTTGGTTCGGCTCAAATCTAACGAACTTCCTAATTGGGCTTGTAATTATGTTGACGAGTAATTAGCTTGTACACATCGTTTATAGCAGAACACCCTAATTAGTTTACTACTGAACTACGACGATACATTTTATAACATTCTCCGATCACCTTCTTTTTCTATTAAAGATTAAAAAAAAACAATATGCAGCATTTAGAAATAAAGGTCAAGGGTCGGTCTCTTCCGCAGAATGCGTTTTATTAGTGAAATGTTTTTCGAGCGCAGAAGAAGCTCATATTGATCGATGGTTTGTATTTCTCTCACGCAAGTATTCATACGTATTTTTCAGAGAATTTCATGCTAAAAGAATATTCCATTTGCAGCTGGATTATACGTATAATTCGCGCCAAGAATTTTATAATACCATCACGAATTGCACATAAGCTTGTACTGTTTTTTTCAATTTACTATATCTAAGAAATACTTTTCACAGGTTTTAAACTATATAGTATTAACTTACTATATATGAAAAGCCAGAATAATGAATAGTTATTGAAATTTCAAAAATAGATATATTTAAAACATATATGTGAAAATGCGAGCCCTTTGGTCGTATTGCGACTAATAAATATTATTATTATTCATCTTTTAATATATTGAATGCAAAAATTTAACGTGTGACTTTATATAGTTTGATAATTTACTAATTTATATATATATAGTTGTCAAATTAGGCAATAAGAATACTATACTTATAGACACATTTAGCTTAGTGCGAATTAGACTATTGCAAATAGAAATAAATCTCACAATGCAAAAGTTTTATATTTGGCTCGATATTTGACAGCGCAACACTAAGTTCATAGTCAAGCCCAGCATGATCGTTTATGATTTTTAATTAATACAAGAGTAGAAAAACTTTGTTCGCATGTATATGTCGTCGAAAATGGAAGTAGTGTTAAGAACTTGATTTCGGAAATGTGAAGATATTCTTTCTGAAATCCAGTAAACATCTAATGAAACTTCGACGAAGTGAAGTTTTAACGTGTCGTCATTACTTAATTCTATAAATTCCTCTCGAATTTGCAGAGACAGTGCTTCCGTAGAATTTATTGCATGGGTTGCAAAATGATTTCGAATCCAATCGTATTGTTCTGTATTAATAAAATAAAAATAGTGATCAAATTTCTGCTGAAGCATACTTAAATGTTGTTAAATTTCTCTGTGAAATGGCTCTACCAAGTAAGATGCAGAAGAGATTAGCGAGCGAAGTTGAGGATGAAAACCAGCCAATCCCTTTATCAAATAGCTACGCCGTACTATGGAAAAAGTGGATACCGATCCAACAAAGAAGAACATCATCATCGTTGTGGAGCATCGGGATGGATGTCACCAGCAATTCGTTAAGACCTGCAAACAAATATTAAAAAATGATGTGCTGGTTACGTACAACCGATCCCTCAAAACGACAATTATTTGATCCCAAAGTATTGAAGATCACAACGCTTTTCTAAAAACACTTGAAGAAAACGTTCTCAAGGAAGAATGAGAAGAACCATGCCTTTGTCATGTGAAACCTCCCAGAGGACTGGTTGAAGAGGATCTGAAAGAGAGATACAAGATCAACCCTAAAAAGGTCTCGAAGATGAGGACCACACCAGCATTCTTCGTGCACCAAACCACACAATATACCCGCAACATGTGCAAACTGCGGGGGACCACACCCGGCTAACAATATGGAATTCCCAACGTACATCGCCAAAATAAAAACGATCCGTGGAAAAATGTCGGCGACCAGAACGGCCCCAAAAGGCTGGCATACAATGAAAGCAGACAGAGTTTCCTGGAAGCACCTCATCCA